CGTAGGCACATATCACTTACTGTCATACAGCCGAGGCTAGATGTAGGCTTACGGAATCTTCCGAGGTTTGCCGAGTGTGCACAAAACAGTACGTCCTCATTGCCCTGATCTGTGCGAACGGCACGGAGTTCGTGGTCAGCTTCCATTTCTAATTGCTAGTAGGCCTATTGTGCCAAGGCTCACGTGTCGGGTACACGTCATCATTTTATGCGCAGTTTTTTGTGCCGCTTACGATCACTCGGCAAATCTCGACGGATTCCGTTACCCTACATCTAATCTCGGCTGTATGACAGTAAGTGATATGTACCTACGCCCATACATTTGCGATGCGGCTGCCGGTTTACTTTAAACGGGAAAACGTGTCGCTTTTACAAAAAAATCCTAAATTGCCTCTTTTGTAGAGTGTATATACCTAAATGAGCAGAGATATTGTCTCAACAGGGCTGTCGGTAATTTTTCACAGATGATTAGCAGCACTGCTAATCAAAAAGTCCAATTTTGCCAAATTTGATTAGCAAATTTAAAAATTGATTAGCAGTTTTTCAGTTTCAAATCAACATAAAACACCTAAATAACAAGATTATTTTAATTTTAATTGATAGCAAATGATTAGATTTCATTCTTAAGATTTTTTTAGAATGTTAGCACTTCTACAGCTAGCTGTGAACATTTCTGAATGAATGTAGACTTTTGTTAGGCCTTATGTCTGGAGCCAATTCTTGGCAGTGGCTTCTTATTTCTTCGTTAGAAAACAATTTCGTCTGCTTTTTATCGTGTGTTATTATTTTTGTTCAATCGGAAGCACGCGGTATTTTACGAATAATCTCGATTAACTAGACGCACGCGATATAAACAATAATAGTTTACGGGAATTCTTACTTTGATTTCTCACTTTACAATACGTTTACACGTATTTATTTTTTTATATTTTATTTACAATACGTGGGGGATAAACTGAATTTATTTTTTTTCAAATTGAATACTGATATAATTACTCGAAAATGACATGTCTCGCAACGTGAGTGGTACTACTCGATTCCCTATTTCCGGTTTAATAGTCCCGATTCATAGAGTTATGTCCCTGTATTATATAGTATCATGAATTGAGTCTGGGTAGTTCGAGAAGAAAATGTCACACGGAGAATTCCGTTTTGTTTATAAAATTTATTTGATATTTTATACGCGTTAAAGTGTTGAGAAATGTGGATAAATCTTTGTGTCAATATCCAAAATGACAGGCATATTATTGATTCGCAGTTACTGCGAATCAAAAACGTTAGATTTTAATTTTTGATTAGCAACGGACAAAATATGTATCGCAAATTGCGCTGCGATACTGGTTGTCGGCAGCCCTGTGTCTCAAGGCTGCTGGTTTGATAAAATTCCCTGGTAATTCCCCAAACCCAATGCCAAACGTGACGTTTGTTGATATAATACACTCTCCACAGAAATCTCCATGGGGGCAGCCATTTTTCATTCGAAACCTTTAAAATAGTTCAAATATGTCTCAAATGGTCATACAGCCGAGATTAGATGCGTAGAATCTGTCGAAGTTTGCCGAATGGCTTACGATAATAAAAATATTGGCGGGACCACAAATATATATTTAGTTAAATATTTATACATTTAGCTAAACATATATATTTAGCATGATATTTATATATTTAGTTAACTGTTTATATATTTAACTAAATATATATATTTAGTTAAATGTTTATATATTTAGTTAAATGTTTATATATTTAGTTAAATGTTTATATATTTAACTAAATATATATATTTAGCTATATGTGTATTTTTTTAGCTAAATGTTTATATATTTAGCTAAATGTTTATATATTTAGCTAAATGTTTATATATTTAGCTAAATGCTAAATGTTTATATATTTAGCTAAATGTTTATATATTTAGCTAAATATTTAACTTTAGATTTTTCAGTGATTTAGCATTTATACCTACAAAAAACAGCACATTTAGCTATATATTTAACTAAGCGATGTGAAATCAAGATATAACATTTAAAGTTTTTCATAGACCAAAAACTCGACTTTTAGCTACAATATTTTTTGATATTTACATATATGCCATTTTTGTTCTAATATTTATCTAAATATATATATTCGGAGTTAAATCTAATGTTTTTTGCTATAAAAAAAATTAAATAATTATTTTACAAACGGCGCCCCATAGGTTTCCTTCAACGTGGGCCATAGGAAACTTCGTGCCAGTCTACAAGAAAGGGGACGCTAATGATCCAAATAACTATAGGGGAATATCTATTGTTTCGTGTCTAGGAAAACTGTTTACTTCTATCCTGAATAATAGGTTACTAAAATTTGACCAAAAATACAACATAATACCTCCGAGTCAGTTTGGATTCCGAAAAAATGTAAGTACGGTAGATGCAATTTTTGTTCTCCAAGCACTTGTTAACCTAATACTGCTGTTTCGTAGATAACAGTAAGGCTGTCGATTTTGTTAATAGACACAATTTATGGTATAAGCTTATACAACAGGGCATAGGGGATAACTTTCTTAAGGTAGTTAGATCTCTATACGAAAAAGTTAAGTGTTGTGTTAACTTCGAAAATGGCGTATCAGATATATTTCAGTGTCAAAATGGTCTCTTCCAGGGCGAGGTTCTCTTCCCTGTCCTATTTCCAATGTATTTGCATGATTGTGAGTCTCATCTACTAGCAGACGATTGCCCAACTGTAGATATACAAACGTTAAATATTTTTATGATTATGTATACTGATGAAAAGGTTTTGTTCTCAGAAACCCCAGAGGCGCTGCAAAATTTATTAAACTCTCTGTGTACTTATACACAAAAATGGGACTTATCTGTAAATATTTCAAAAACTAAAATCGTGATTTTTAGAAATGGCGGAAAAATTGACGAAAAAGAAAACTGGTCATTCTATAATCAAAATCTTGAAGTTGTTGACTCATTTAACTACCTCGGAGTAATTTTGAATTTTAATGGTAAATTTATAAAAACGCAAAAAAAAACCAACGTATCTGACCAGGCCTGAAAAGCACTATTTTCCGTTTTAAAAGTATGTAATGAAAACTATTTTAACCCCGTAACAAAATTGTCAGTTTTCGAAACCTACGTGAATAGTATTTTATGCTAGGGGTCGGAAGTTTGGGGCTTTCATAAAGCTGAGGATGTTGAAAAGGTGCATCTGCATTTTTGCAAAAGATTTCTTCAAACACAAAATAGTACTAGTACTGCTATGATATACTATGAATTGGGTAGATATCCACATTCTATATTAAGAAAAATTCGAATATTCAAATATTGGTTAAAGTGTCTTGTTGGATACTTAAACGTTAACAGCCGAATTAATTTTAATCAGATTGGTGTGAATTTGCCGTAAAGTGCACATTATAGTAACCATTGGCTATACGTACATGAAATTTAGATTTTACGTCTTATGTGGTCTTTAATTAACCTCTAAAACTGACCTCTTTGCAGATGACACAACAGTCTACACTTCTGGGTCTGTCAAAGAATTAGAACAAAAACTTCAACTCGATGCCAATATAGTATTAGCCTAATGTGATAAAAACCATATGAGATTAAATATATCAAAAATCAAAGCTATGCTAATCACGAGGCAACAAAAAAGAAATATCCTCCCAGCTACTTTGAGTATTAAATTACGTAATGAACCATTAGAAGTCGTCTCCTCGGTAAAAAATATTGGGTGTTTTTCTCAATCATAATCTAGGATGGAAAGATCATATCGATTATATTTCTCAAAAAATTAAGCCAGAAACTATTTCCAGCTCCTTTCCGAATCATTTTCTACAATGCCCACTTTCAAACACATATAGATTATTGTTCCTCAATATGGAACTATGGTGTCTGATGAAAGCGTCCATTTAGATCGGAGTATATTAGGTAGGCCTACAACGCGAGAGTCGCCGTTAAGCCAGAACGACGAAAATGCCGCCGATCGGGGACTTTTTCGTCGTACTGGCTTAACGGCGACCCGCGACTTTCACTACACGAGATCGTCGCCGTTAAGCCACGCCTTTTTGGCGACTTTTTCGTCGCTCTGGCTCAACGGCCACTCTCGCCTCGGGAGTTTATAGTTAGCTACATGCGCGATGGCTACATTTACTTCTTGTATATAATATCAGAATGGAGGAGATTTTGGATAAGTTTGGGCTGTCGAGCTATATCAACATTTTCAGTGACACTAGGGTAAATTAAAATTTATGAGTGTTATAGACACTTGTACTTTCAAAACCTGTTTAGTTACACTGGAATTAGATTTAAAATGTACACGTCTTTATATCACTAAATATTTCCCCATTGATTTTAATGTTAGTCCTAATTCTCGTATCTTAGACCGGAACTAACTTTTCCCCAAATTTTCGTTGGGTAAACGCTTTCTGCTACAGATGGAGCAACATGTGGCAAACTCTTGCACAAAAGCATGTATGAGGTTCACCATGAAAAACTTCTGATACACAAGCTGGAAGTAGAGACAAGTAAACATGCAATTTTCGGCCCTACATTTCAACCTAACCAAACTCTCAAAATCATGAATATTCACCAAAACCTGACAGAAAATGTATTTTCAAACCTTTATTTCGATTCTACACTAGAAAGTCAACATAAATCGCCATTCAAAGGGGTGGGGGGGAGGGGGCAGAGAAAGACTAAAAATAATTTTCGTCCTACTTTCGTGGGTGACGGCGTAGAAATATGGAGATCTGTGTCCATATACAAGAAGTAAAATGTAGCCATTGTGCATGTAACTAACCAACATCCCAGGCGAGATTCGCTGTTAAGCCTGAGCGACGAAAAAATCGCCGAAAAGGGGGGGGGGGGTGGCAGAGAAAGACTAAAAATAATTTTCGTCCTACTTTCGTGGGTGACGGCGTAGAAATATGGAGATCTGTGTCCATATACAAGTAAAATGTAGCCGTCGTGTACGACGGGCTTAAGGTCTGTATGGAATAAATAAAACACAACTAACAATGTTTAATTTCTTTATTATTGTGAATGGTCTGTTTTTAGCCCCACCTAAAACGAAAGAAAAAACAGTTATTACAAATATATACATATAATTTTTCAGATTTCATTGAGTCCGTAACGTCGCCAGTCCGAGTCCGAAAAGTCGCCTGGCCGAGTCCGAAAAGTCGTCTGGCCGAGTCCTAAAAGTCGCCGAGTAAGTCCGAAAAGTCGCCTGACTGAGTCCGAAACGACGTTTATGTTGAGTCCGAAATGACGCGGGACCGAAATGACGTGCTACCAGAATAGCGCAGTGACGTAAGAACCAGCCTGACGTCATTTAGAGCAGGTTATCCAGTCTGTGTTGTTTTGCTTGTGACTGGTCTTTTTAATCGAAGCTACATATTGCACATCGTGAGTTATTTACCTTGTAAATTGGTGCTTGCCCTTACTTGTGGACCAATCACTGATAATATTATCCTGAGTGGAAACGGGATCCATCCAATCATATAACTTGTTTCTAAGCTGACTATATTTTGAACGTTGTTTACAACATGGCTGTAAAAGTTGCAATTTATGAATAATCATATTACATCTCCGGAGTCCGGTTATTAATTACCACTTGGAGGATAACTATTTGTTTTTAGTAAACACTGGTAAATACAATTTACAGCAAGTCTGGTTTAATATGATGGTTAGGATCAATAGCCTATATATTATAATAAATAAATAAATAATATAAATTCGCTAGATTTCCGAAATCAACATCATGACATGTTCATTCCTGTTTTATTCACTGATTCAGTAGAGTGAGTAGTAGTCCTACTACCATTTATTTGGTAATATTGAGTTACTATTGGTGGTGTAAATCGCCCTGTCGGATTTATATTGTCGTACAGAATATCGGCAGAATGAAAATAAAGAATCTTGACTAGACAATTAAGTCACAAATTTAGTACTTAGTTATTTTAGTAACGTAAATTTGTATCGGCTCCGCTCTCTACTATTTTGCTTTTCCCCCATCTCGGTTCTAAGGCTATTTTGGAATCCTTACCGTTTATTTTTTACCATGATTCTTCTTTGGTCGCCAAAAGGAATCATTTCTTGCCATATCCGACACAAATATATAAAAATCCAACACTATCTTCATGTAGAATTGTGCAATACAAAAACATAAACAACTGTAGTAGGAACGGCCGATCTCTGACTTTTCCTGATCATCCCTATAAGCTGCAATTATGAAAATACCCCTCTTCTTCACCTCTGTTATTCTAAGGCTATTTTGGAATCCTTATCCTTCTATTTTTAACCGTGATTCTTTTTTTTTTCCGCCAAAAGGAATCATTTCTGACACAAATTTATAATAATTCAACACTTTTTTCAAGTAGAATTTTGCGATTAAAAACATAAAAACATAAGCAAAATATGTTTCACAAACCCGTCATTACGAACGAGACTCAAACATGCGCAGACCACATTTTTTTTAAAATTGCAAAATACTACTTCAAAATAGTGTTGAATTATTATTATAAATTTGTGTCAGATGTGGCGTGAAATGATTCCTTTTGGTGAAAAAAAAAATATCACAGTGAAAAATAGAAGGTGAGGATTCCAAAATAGGCTTAGAACAGTCGTGGGGGTAGAGCGGTATTTTCATATTGCAGCTTAATACTAGTAGGAACGGTCAGAAGAGCATCCGATCAGAGACCGTTCCCAAAGAACCTGCAACCAAAAATTAAAATCACACAAGTATCTCGTTTTTTCAACATATTTGTATCCCAAATATTACCACCTTAAATTATGCAATGTGTCATCCTAATATAATGAAATTTTCTATAGATATTGACCATCTGCACTCCTCGTCCTCAAATAACAGGTATGATGTAAAAATGATATTATGCAATAAAAATGGATTATCCTTTCAACATTCTATTATAATCTTTGTAAATTAATTTTGATGAAATTAGACTAAAAAAAGTCACCTTCCACTCAGTAAAAGAAATTTGTCGATGGGTCCTCCAAAGGAGGGGAGGCAGACCGAACTTAAACTTAAGGCACATTGACTCTTGGTTGAGGGATTAGTTAACAACAATCAAGAACTAAACGTCTTAGGTCAGGTGTAAAGTAAAACAAGCATCAAAAGGACTGGATATACGTGCCAAGTTTCATTCGATTCTGTTCGCTAATGATGGGGGGGGGGGCGTGGTAACGGTTTAGAGTATTGGCCTTGAGTATGCTAACAGTTAAACACATTTCCTAAAGTCATTAATAAGCTAAATAAATAAAACAAAGACAGATTAATTGATTCTGAATATTATTATGGAAATATTAATCTGACTGTGAAATCGAATCTGGAAGCCATCTGCAGAAATTAGGACCGGATTGAGCTTGCATGGAGACCATGCATCAACAGTGAAAAAAGGGCATACATGTATTCTGGTCATTGTCTGTCAAACACAAATGCAATTTGTGTGTCAGTATGATTGATACATGTACATTGTAGTTAGATTTATTTGGCACATTAGAACTATAATTTGGGGACCCCTTAATATTGACGCCCCTGGCTGCAGTACGGTCAGCCCCCCTCTTAATCCAGGCCTGGATGTTGGATCCCGAAATGAAATAAAAAATATAAGCCCGCTTTGTTTTTTCCAGAAATTTGTGCCAAACCTGAGACACTTTTTTGTCCATTCCCAGTTGTTCTATTGATAAGCAAGTACAGTAATTACGCATCTGTTTTCAGGGGCGGGCTCAGTCTCAACCCCGATTGGAAAAACATAATTTGACATAACTATACATGTATATGTTTTTTCAAAATATCTAATATTCATCTTCGTTTACACTGAAATTGATAATGGCTTCAATCCGAGGAGAAAGATGATATATGAGTGAGGTGCAGGAATAGTGAATCAAACTAGTTTTGTTTTCTCGTCATGTAACATATTCTTCACTGTGATGGCAGCCCAGTGCACCCCTAACACTTTTAATACAGGCTAAATGTGAAATTGTGATTATAAATGGTTGCAAGCTGCAAAGTTTTTAGAATTGAAAACGAAATCGGATACCAGCCACAATCAGTTGATCACCAGAAGTGTTAACCGGTTTCCTGTCACACTGAGGCCAAGGGACAACAAACAAGGAGGATTGATCGATGGTGCATGTACCTACATTGAGTGAGATTGGTTTTTAGTATCGCTGGATCTGTTTAGAACCAGGGAAGGGCAGTAGGAAAAGAGGGCAATGGGAATGTGATGACATTGACGTGGGTATTTCCTTGAGTATTTGAGGTACATGTATGTAGTTACACACTCCATAGCAAAATAAAAATAACATCAAGACAGACGTGTATAAAATTTAAAAAGGTTTGTCAGAAAAAGACAAATTTATATTTTTACAAATTATTTCAGCAGAGCCCATCAGTATCAATTTTGTAATCACAAAATTACTATTGAACCAGTATGTCTAGTGATGTAAGTTCAACGGCCAGTGTTCCTGAAATCCCACCAGACTCACCAGGGAGTTCAGTTTCTACAAGACTACAGGTAATGCTTAAATGTATGTTTTGTATCGTATCAAAATTAAATACAAACATTTCTGTTAGATTTAGAATACTTTTATTGGTTTGTTGTAAACTATGTAATCGTGTTCCTGTCTCCATTATGAAGCTCAATACAGTGTAATAAGAATTGTGTGTACATTGTACAATATAGACAAAACATTTAGTTAGTTAAACCATTTAAAACTAAATATATGACATTGACAGATGGAAGTTTGATGGAACCATAAAAGTCTCATGTTTAGTTATTATAATTATAAATGTAATATCATTGTTCATTGACTCTGATAGGAGTCTCTTATGATCCAAATATTTGTTCAAATCATTCATTAAACTTCTGTAGGATTACATAGTTTTATCAAATATCCATGTAACCTGTCTGCTGAAGGTTTTTCTTTCCTAACAAAAGCTATTTGGAAAGTCCAACAATTATTAAATAATGCTTGTATTCAGTAGAGTCAAATCTGTTAAATTTAAACATTATCAGAAATTTTATATATATGTATTAATAAATAATTTGCAGGAAGAATATGAAGAATTATTAAAGTATGCAGTAGTTGTTCCAACTTATGATACCACAAAAACTGCTTCTAAATTAGTTTTAGATGGTCAACAAACATTCCCACAAACAAACCATGTCTCAACTCAACAAGAAAATACAACAACTGTGACTACCCATCGAACTACACATACTGGTAATTAGTATTTAAGACTTTCTCTTCAATTAAACATACATTATGCAAGAGCTAAATCTGATTATTGCAAGTCTTTATTTAGGCTTCAGATGTCATAGAAATTATAAATTAGATCTTGATTTACACAACAAGCAAAAAATCAACTCTGTACACCCACAGATGGCTTGGATTCAGCTTGGATTTAAACAGGATTTCATGACTGATTTAATTTTAAATGGCGTTGTGAGCGGAGATTAACTGTTACGTTGACGTCATACTTCCGGATCGAGGCTAAATGATAGAGTGTACGAAGCGAGGCCGCTGTTGAGCGATGCCTTAACAAATGACATTTAAACTATTTAAAGTGCAATAAACTAAACACAGATAATGACAAATTATACAATTCCTGGAGACCGTGTGGTGACTAATACAGACGGACAGGTCTTCTGTCTTAATAATATCATTTTTATTTCCCCAATAGGCATAACGCCACTGGTGTATACCTATAGATTTATCATAATTGTATTATAATATTTTGTCCTATATTCAATTGATTTAATGCATGCCCAAAATACTAAGTAAGAATGAAAATTTACCCTCTCACTCATTTTGTCCAATTGTTATAAAAATCCAAAAAGGTAAAACACAAATTCGGATATGATGACAGCAGACAAAAGACAGCAGAGATTATGTAGGTGGAGTTAACGCCTGTCAATCAAACGATCGGCCATACTAAGAATCGGTGAAGATGGAATTCAATCCCATTTCTAGTCAAAAATTACACTGGTGATAACTATGTTCAGAATAAAGTAATTTGACTGAAATTTTCAATATATTCTTCTTTCATCATCTATTTTTGAACTGTTATAGCAAGAATGGCTAACTCCTTATAAAAATCTCCCATAATGTATCTTTAATCATTTACCTCCGAATCTATAACCATACAAAAATAATACTGCACAGAATAATTTACATATTTAGAGGCTAGATGTTATATCATGAGAATTAATTGACTCATTCGGCAGACTCCAGTACCCTTCATCTAACCTCGGCTGTATGACAAATTCAGCCACTGAAACTATTTTAAAGTTCCCGGATTAAAAATGGTGACGCCCATAAAGATGCCTATGAAGAGTGTTTTATCTCAAGAAACTGTATACATCATACAAAGCTTTCAATGTCTGAAGCTGTTTTTCTTTCAAATTTATCTGATTTTCTTTAACAAAGGACAACTTTGCAATGAAAACTCTACACACACTTCAAACGATGCCATTTTGAGAACTTCTTTCTAAAATGGCAAGTTTTCCTAATAAGTAGACCAGTAGCCTCATCACAATTGTATGGGTGTAGCTACATACATGTATCACTTACAGTCGTGGTTAGATGTAGGGTACCAGAGTCTGCAGAGGTTTGCTGAATGTTAATTGCCCTTTTATCTAAATAAACAGATTTTTATACGCCCACATTGAAATGTGGTTGTATATTGTTGTCGCCCCCGTCCGTCCGTTGGTTCAAAAAATCTTGTGGACGCTCTAGAGGTCAAAGTTAATATCCGATTGACTTTAAATTTATACACAGTGTTTAAGGTCATGAGACGAAGAAGCCTATTGATTTCAGCGATTTTCGATAACTACTGCCAGAGTTATGGCCCTTGATCACTTCAAAAAATCTTGTGGACGCTCTAGAGGTTAAAGTGAATATCCGATTGACTTCAGATTGATACACAGAGTTTCAGGTCTTGAGACGAACAAGGATATTGATTATCAATGAATCTTTATGACTTGCACAGCTAAATCTATGATATTAAAATTTTTGTATACTAAGCGTTAGCATGGGGCAGAACTTTATAAAAACCAAACAAATTCTAATGGTTTTCTGATAATCACTTAATGAGTTGTTACTCTTAATCAGATTTTAATGTATTATAAATGTTTCATTACCGAAAAAAGTAAAAATATGCGACAACTCTTGTTGACTGCCCGGACGATATAGCTGCTGTGGGCGTATGTTTCGTTGCCTGGCAACCTATGTTTTATACTTTTGTTAACACAGCATTGGCCTTCCTTTGACTATAGTATGTAGGTTTTGGTAAGCTGGTTTTTAACTGTTAGCATCAAGAGGTACTGAAAATTAATCACTCATTCCTTATTTCCTTTGGTAATTTACGGGACCAATAATCTTTTTCAGAATCTCAGCAAATAAAAAACACTGTTACTACGCCACGATTCCACCCATCAGAGTTACCTGATTTTCATGCGAGTCCCATTCCTGGTAAATCCAGTAGTTGTGAGGATAGTAGCACAGACACATTAGAAAAACCAGGTGAGATAATCATTATACCAGCTGTATTTATGACAGACATAGGAAGGTTTATATTAAAGACCCATAAGATCAAAAATCTTAATTGCATGTACTTATAGCCAATGGTTACTATATCCATTTTCCTGCAAGATCAAACCAATCCAATTAAAATTAATTCAGCTATTATAAGGTTTAAGTATCCGAAAGCCAAAAACGTTTTTCAAATTTTCAATTACAACCTTAATCCGGTTGATTGCCTGGTGACGTCAGAGGCACTGCACATACAATATACATTATCTATACATTATATCACTGTCTATACACACCACCGGTTGACAAGTGGGTATTTGTCGGTCCAATTAACATGTGACTGGCCTAATCATAATCACCGAATTATCGTCTTGCGTTGTTAATATACATGTAGATTAGACATTTATGATTGGAATATTTTAGAGTGAATTTAAAATGCTGTATCAAGCCGTAGATCCATTTAAGGTGCCATTGTTTAAATAGTCCATGTGACAAATGAAGACGACCCAAGCAATTAGCGCATTTACCGGTAATTTGGATAACCCTGTAATATTTGATATCCCAGACTATTCTCTATAAGTACAGAAATACAAATGGTGCCAGTCACTTGTCGATATTCATTATTAGCTATATATAATAATAATAACTATTTCCATACACAAAGAACAACTTTTATCGTAACTCCATTTGAAATTCACAGCGAATATGGAATTTTCTGAGAACTATGCATAACAATAGATCGCCTCATTTCTCAGTCAATCAACGCCGGGAATCTTATTACCATGTACGGTTTCATGCCTACTACGGGGGTAGTAACCGAGGTTAATTTTGGGTGCGAAAATTCCATGGGATTCATGGACATGAATTTCAAATACATGTGATCATACGTGGAGTTCCTGATGCCATTTGGTGAGTGATTAAAATGTCAATGTAATTGTAAAATACCTTTATTATAAAGAAGTTAAACGATGTTAGACATTAAAACCTAATCTTGTCACAACCGTTTATCCATCGAATAATATATACTCAGATTTCATATCAAGTCAATTAAATGTTGTTTAAACACCAATCAACAAATAATAGGAGGCTATTTTATTACAAAAACATCGGTGAACAAAAGCTAATTGATTATTGGGTAAATAATAATTATAAACAACTGATGAGTAAAACTTAATTATTTTATACAATTAACAAGTGTACGATTCTATGATTAGTTGTCTTGTGGAGAATTGTTTGTAGGAAAGTTCCCCCGCAACTTTTTCCGTTCGTTTGCGATGTATTTCGCACACGTTTCACTTAAATTCACAAAATTTATCGGTACTGTTAATTCTAACTTATATTAGTGTAGATAGCCGAATTAATTTTAATCAGATTGGTGTAAACTTGCCGTAAAGTGGATATAGTAACCATTGGCTATACGTACCGAAAAGTAATTCAGTCCATCTTACAATATGTGGCCTTTAATTGTTGAATGAAATGGTGAGATAATTGTTATGCTATTTGTATCAATGCCAGACTTTGGTAGGTTTGTATTAATTGTAAAGTAAAATGGTTAATAACTGAATGCATCAGTGGAAAAAAAAACCTCAGTTGACAGCACAAGTATATTTGTATGTAATGTGAGACCATAGAATTTTGATAAAAATTAATTATCATTATGATATAAAAAAATAGCATTGAACATTAAATCAGATCACTAGTGGTTGACCCAGCATTGTACACCATATAACAGTTGTTGTCAGGGCTATCACTGGCTTTTCATTTTTTTTCCGCCAACTGGAATATTTTATCTGCCAAAAATGTGTGATAAAAAAGACAACATCTAACAATTTTATGTCTCAGCTAGGCTTATTAATATTATAAAAAAAATTATCGATATATACAATACAATATACAACAATATACAATACAATCTGTCATATTTTTTTTGGTGACTTTAGTCCATTTCAACACCATACTGCAAAATATATTTTCAGTATTTACACTTAGATCTCATTCAAGGATTGCCAATTTTCTTTAAATTTATGTTTTGCGTGTACAATAGTATAGTTATTTTCAGGTACCGTAAAGGTATCAGAATCTGAATCCCTGATAGAATGATATAAATTTCAATTATATGGAAGAGATGCTTACAATTATACCGGTCGTTCACCTTTAGATCATTTTGGCGACGGTAATACGATAGATATGGCGAAATGATTTCTCGCTCAAGAATCGTCGCTATTCAACTCGTTCTTACGTTTTCCACCAGTGGTGATAATATATTTTGAAATAATTACAATGTATATCTGATCGGCATGCTTGAATATCTTGCATGCCGTATATAAAGCCACAGTAAACGGAATTCAACTATCAAAATATTTAATTCTCTTCGAAAGGAACTGTCGGCCATTTTGATTACATGTATTACCATTTTTTTTTGTAAGACGAAACGAAACATCAAATAATCACCGCTTGGATTAATCATTAGGAGTAAATAATGACTTCAGATAGGCTTTATAATATATACATCATTGGCAATTATCAATCAACTAATCATTAATCCAAGACAACTGATTAGTATTACTCATTGACGCAATCCGGATTATCAGCCAGTTGATTAATTTATAGTATTCCGCCACGTGATTGACACTCAATTAATGGTTAATCCAGGATAAATACGATTAGATTTTTAAGATTTTTTCCCGCCTGTTCTCAAAAAGAATCGCCAGTACCGCAAAAAATTATCGCCAAAATCAAATTTTAATCGCCACTTTGATATTTTTATCGCAGATTGCAACTTTGGCGACTGACAGTGTGAGCCCTGGTTGTAGTGCACCGCAAACAGGCCTATGTCACTCACTGTCTTGAACCTCCTTATTTTTATACCACAAACTTGAGCCTCGGGGCATCCTTAATGTAGCTGGTGCCTCCCCCAAACAGACATTTCAGAGAAACAACATTCATAAATATAGATTATGTTAACAAAAGGTGTAGCCACAATCTACAAGTCCGATGTTCTGTGCAAATCAGATCCAAATTAAAGACACATTATGGGAGATGAGATAAAGAGCTGGCAGTTCTCACTATAATAGTTAGAAACTAGATAATGTAAAGGCAATTTGCTGAAAATTTCATTCAAATTGATCCACTATGAACCGAGAATTAAGCGATTGAAATTTTGGCATATATATAAAACTTATGGCGTTTTTGTGAGTCGATTAGATTAGGTTTTGATTTGCTAGTACGATTTGGTATGATTTCGATTTGATTAGCTATGGTCCACAAATGTGAAATTTGATAATTACGATTTGGTAAGATGGCTGCCATTACGGACACCGATCAGAAAAAAAATTGTCTCTGCTAATTATTGATGACTTGTTAAAGACAAATAAAGGTTATCTACGCAAAAAAGGAAAAATGGTTGCCGTTAGAAACAATCTCCTACCTATGTCCAACAAGTTCAAGTATTTTTTTGAAAACTGAAGTGACAAAACATGTAAAAAGTTTACTGAGAAAACCTAGGATCGAGGAATATATTGAAAAAACTGTAAATGAATAAAATTGCTTAGAGGTGATCTAACATTCTTGTGGACTATAAAGTTAACATTAAACACGTCAAATGCGTTTTAAAAAAACATTTTTTATGGAGAAAAACAACAATAAGCATTAAAAATTACTTACGACGTCGAACATTCCGCCATTTTGAAAAAGTCAAATCTAATCGCCTAAACACCTCCTGGGACGATTAGGTCGATTTGCCTAATCAGTTGAGTTAAATCGTCTCACAAATGTAACGATTAGCATAATCAACTTGGTTCACAAATGCATATAATAGCTAATCGGTCTAATCTAATCGGTTCACAAAAACGCCTATAGTTTTGATCATCCATTTCATGATTAAATTATGAATGGAAGTCGAGCAGCAAATGGGATCATAATCCAGTAAATATCGCAGGCTAGCGATGCCATCGAGAGTTGATTATGGTCTTGATAAGTTAATTAATGTCAAATTAATAATTTAGATAACATTTCAGGCCTAAAGAAAGACCCGCAATTGGCAGATTTCGCTCTTGCATAATGTATGTATATAAGTCTTTAGTAGATATCTAGCCACTCCCCCAACTCTACTTAACACGTATGATTTAGTTTTGCTTATACAGTGATCATAATATAAATTACATGGTGGTGCTTACTTTAAAACGATGAAATGCAATTGTGATTCTTAATGAATTAATGTTGGACCCTCTGTTTTTAATCTGTAGAATGAAAGATTTAAACTTTCATCAGCTCAATATTCTTACTGACATAGTTTTATTTCATTTGTGCAAAGCTAGGGAAGAGAATTTTGCTGGGACAGACTGCTCTTCAACAAATTCCAACTGTCATTGGATTCTTTTATGTGCATGCAAGCTTGTACACATTTTCCATGCTATTCAGACTACTTGGCAACACTTTACTTTTTAATACTGAGAAGTGGTAACTGGGCTTGAAACATCCCAAGAGAAATTCTATTTGCAAGTCCAGTGACTATACTTCTTGACTACTATGGCCCCAATCAGTCCTTCATACACAGAACATAAAGAATCTATTGGTTGTAATGTAATAATTCTTTTTGAAGGCTATTAGTAAATATATTTGTATTATGAATTTACAGAAGACAAATCAGGACCAACTGCTACATATGGTACTAAAGAGTTTATGTATCAAGGTAGTGGACAGTCTAATTACCAACCTATAGATGTAGAATACGAGAGAGATGAAGATAACATAGTGTATACAGGTACAGTAGATGCAGACGTTACCAAGATGGAGAATTTAATGGATCAGTGGTGTTTAGATCTGAAGAGGAATGTATTGGTAAATACAATCATTTCTTGTTATATGACATGAGTGTCTGTGGTAGCCTATATTAGTAGTCAAATCTACTATACCTGCCATTATGTCATAAAAATGCTAGATCATTTTATTGGAAATTTGATATTTGAAAATGAATATCATTTATGGAACAGAAATTTTGCTGTGTATGTGTAAATTGCATTGCTGTGTTTTGATTTCAGGCAGAATTTGGTCAATCAAAAATTAGAATAGTTGAATATGGACGTCAAGAACTAATGAAAGAGAAAGAGAGGTATGCTATGCTAACTATTTAATACAATTTGAAATACTTGTACAAAATAAGAAGTATGTTTGTCTGGTCATGCAGGGTTAAAAGACAGTATTAGAAGATTGGAACAGTTGACATTTCAGGTGTCTTATATATTATATATGCTTTCTTTCTTCACATAGCCACAGTGACTCAGGTTGGCTTGCACGTTAAATATCCCATGACAGTTAAAATTCGATATACTTGAATATTTCTTGAATATTTCGCTTTGTCAACTGGTACAGATGAACCATATTCTGGGGAATATTCAGTTCTATTTGATTGTTTTTCTACTTTTAAAGTTGTTTGGCACAAATCTCTTAATACTTTTAGTAGTTCAAAGTCTTCATTTTGAAAAAAAAAACATTCCAAGCAATACTTAAAAATTATGAATACATGTAATATAATTTTCATTGTAAAAATATAATTTTTGAATGATTATTACAGGCATGCATGTGAACAAAATAAACTAGTAAATGAAATAGATAGTTTAAAAGAATTACTTCATACATATGAACAATCAATGGAACGTAAAGATGAAGTTATATCTAATTTAACGCATGCTATGCAGAAACAAAAAGAAAGAAAGGATATGATGAAACAGTTCTGTGAATGGAGAATAAAATATAATGATGCCAAACGAGAGGTAATCTTATTTGCATTTCCGACACTTAAAGATACATTATGTAAAATTTAGATAAAGGAGCTGACCGTTCTTGCTATAATAATAGTTAAAATAGATAATGCAAAATGAATATATTGAAACTTTCATTCAAATTACTTTATTCTGAGCAAAGATATTAGCCTTTGAAGGTTTGATGTGTGCACTGATTGTAACCACCATACTGGTTTTTCGAGTCTTAGCCTCACTTCATCATTTTTAAATTAAATCATAAAATGGTCGAATTGTTCTAATGTTATGTGGGTTTAATCCCACTGGGGGTGTCACTATTTCTCAATCTTTAACTTTCAATAAAGAAAACACCATTCAATGATCCACATGTTTATTCTTCCCCAAGGGCAGATCACTCATACAGAATAGAAACATCAATAAGTCTTTTTATAAATCAAAGGCAAAGACAGTTAAAGGGAAGTAACTCTTTCAAGCTTAACTAAGGTTCAGACCACAATTAACTACTTATGTAACTAGACTTATCACTATATAACATCCCTCCCGAAGTCAAAAACACAGTTTTTGGAAAAACTAGTTTGACAATACATGTGATGTATGTTTGTATAAGTGCTTAAAAATACTAATGTGTAACATATATTATAAGACATGAAACTTTGAACAAATCAAAGAAATCATAAAAAATGAGTAAACAAATCAGAATAGGTTTATTCAAATGCTCCAAAACCCCCAAAAGCATGTAGTATATATACTATTCAAAAAAAGTAGGGGATATTTGATTTTGGGGGCATAATACTAAAATATGCAAATGACTACGAAAAAAGTCACTATAGAACCTAACAGAAGAAACATTTCCAGTTACATGTGACGCCCAAACGCACCAATAGCTACCGCATGGAATGCAGGTGATGCTTGGGATCATCATGGGGGTCCAACCCAAGATTTGCACGACTCTGACTTTGAATGTTACAGTCATTGTGGCATTGAATTCCAGGGTGGAAACATCAGTTTAATTGTTTTAGTGACCAGAAAACAAATTTTGATATGCGTCGGCTTACCCAAAATGAAAGGTTACGTGCCCTTGGCATGCTACAGATCGGCACAACAGAGGCGGTTGTGGCGCGGACGATGAATGTTTCTCAGTCTGTCATAAGCAGGCTATGGTCCAGATACCGTGATACACAATCTGTACAGGACAGACCACGCTCAGGTCGACCAAGGGCGACAACTCAAGCCCAGGATCGATTTATCCGTACCTTGGCCTTGAGAAATCGTGTCATCACAGCAAATCAGATCAGCGCTCGTCTTCAAACAGACACTGGTGTGAGAGTGAGTGGCCAGACGATTCGGAATCGACTGCATAGGGGTCACCTTCGCGCCCGACGTCCTCGCGTGATCCCTTGTTTGAGAGATCATCACATTCAGGCAAGACGTCGTTGGTGTAGGGATCGTCAACACTGGGATAATCGACGCTGGAGCAATGTGATGTTTTCAGATGAGTCAAGGTTCACTGTTGATTTTTTGGACAGACGTAGGAGGGTGTGGCGTCGTCGAAACGAGCGCTTCCAAGACGTTAACGTCATCAGACATGATCGATTTGGGGGTGGTTCTGTTATGGTGTGGGAAGGCATCACTGTTGCTGGAAGAACGGCTTTACATGTTGTTGCAGGGCGTGTTACAGGCCAGTACTACCGGGACAACATCTTGGCAGTCCATGTTGTGCCGTTCGCACGACGTCATGGCCGCCGTTCCATCTTACAGGATGACAACGCAAGATGTCACAGGGCCAGGATCGTTACAGGTTACCTCCAACAACAGAACATCACCACATTACCTTGGCCAGCACTGAGTCCCGACCTCTCCCCCATCGAGCATGTCTGGGACATGCTTGGACAGAGGTTACGTCAACGTCAACAACGTCCTGCCAATGTCCAAGAACTTGCTGCTGCGTTGCAACAGGAATGGGACAATCTGGACCAAAATGACCTTAGACATCTCATTAGGAGTATGCCACGTCGGATCAATGCTTGTTTGGCAAACAGAGGAGGATTTACCCGTTACTGACTTGGTTGTGATGCTGTGGTAACTTTGCTGTTTGCCCCCGGGTATCATTTTACCCTTATAATGGTCAGTCTGTGCCTTACTTAGTCTAACGATCATTTGGAATAAATCGATGAATGTGAACTTCATTTCATTTTGTCATTTGTTTCTTCGTCAGTTTCATTAGGTGACTTTAATAACACTTAAAAATCAAATATCCCCTACTTTTTTTGAATAGTATATTACCAAGAATAGATTGCTCTAAAATATGCTATACAGGTGGATCTATGAATAAACAAGATTCAGAGATGTTAGAATAACACTTATGTTATAATCCTCAAATGAATGTAAAACAATAATTATTATAACAAGGTTTGATATTTCCTTAGGCTACCAGTTACTTGTAGTTTATTATCATTGATAAGTCCATTGGCTACATTAAACAAAACAGGAGATGAGTTAACTGGTATCCAGGAAGAAGTTTGACCTTTCTTGACATTAGAGGTAGTTATCAAAACTTGCAATGAACCACATTTGAACCTAGCTTTATGCAGTTCAATAGAAGACACATTAGACATTTCCTGTAACATCTTACATTGTTCTGATAACTGATAGTGTGATAACTTATCTACATAAGCAATATTATGATTATTTGCACTATTTGGGAGATAATGACAAATATTAATAGGATTTTATTTGATTTTACGTGTAAGTGAAGTAAGGCTTGATGATGACGGTTTGAGTACATAAACTAACTGGCCTAATCCATAAATAGGATTCTTACTGAGGGTGTGTGCAATGCTGATATTCTGAGATTCCTGTTGACATCTTTGTAATTCAAGCATAGTCTTAGAAATATGATCAAACTTGTCCTTTAAATGGGAAACATACTCGGAATATGAACGACAAACTCCATCGAATTGCCAACGAAGATGGGTAAGGTTTTTTGGCTTCTTACCAAATACCAACTCGTAAGGGCAAAAGTCACCTAACTGTGGTGAAACAAAAGAATTGTAAGCATAGCAACAGGGAGACACATATCGGACCCAATCAGTTCCATACTGATTTAAGTTAACCTTGAGAAAATCAGAGATTGATCTAATGTGGCGTTCTGCCAGAAGACTACCATGATTTGCAACACTAATTACTTTTTGACTAATACCAAGTGTTGTACAAAGAGAGGTAACCAATTTTCCGATGAAACTTGCAGCTGCATCTGTTACTATGACAGATGGGGGACCAAAGAAACAGACTACTTTCTGGATTAAAGCTGCACACACTGTTTCGGCGTCAACTGACTTCGTTGGGACGCAAATGATGAAGCGAGTAATCTCATCACAGATAACTAGAAGATGCTTAAAACCAGAGATGGATGCAGGCATGCTTTTGAAATCAATACTAAGTTTGTCAAAAACATTGTATTCTTCAGGTATCCTAGGATGAAATGTTCTGGTTTTATCTGTCTTGGATTTGAATTTCTGGCAAGTAGAACATGTATTAATGTACTGTGCGATCCTCTGAAACATGTTGGGAAAGTAGAATAACTTTCTCATTGTCAAATAAGTCCGAACTATTCCCTGATGATTACATAACTGACTATCATGATACTGATGTATCAAATTTGTGCACATTGACTCAGGAATGACAAGTTGAAGAGTAAAGTGATCATCCTTGGGTAGGAGAAGACGAAATAAAATATGCTCTGCTAAAATGTACTCTTCTGCTTGGATTTGAGACGTTTCGCAGCTTTACGATCACTGGGCAATATATTGTGAGACAAATAATCATAGATAGGCTTAAATTGGGGAGAAGATGCTTGTTCAAGCCGAAGCTTATTCTGATCGAATGTCAAATTATAGTCTCTGATGATTTTACGCTTAATAACATTGTACAACTTATCCAATTCAGCTTGTTTTGGGAAATGATTAGTGACCAGCCATTCACAATTATGGATGAGGGATTTGGGAGGAATACAGAGATCAATGGGAGTATCACCATCTATACCAATGTCTACTGATTTATCGACCAGACGAGATTCAGGTATAGAATCATTAGAGGAAGATACTTGTGTGTCGGCGAGAACTGGTGGTGGTTTAGGTGGGACAGCATTCTGGTTTGGTTGGCGTATATAGGGAAGGGGAATGGAAGAGTTCTGTTGAGATTTTGACTGGTGAGTTCTAGAATTCCTTGACTGTGAAGAGATATTATTGGAAGACACAATGGAAGAAGGGATTTCAGTTGAAGTACTAGAAGTTGGTTGACTAACGGTAGTAGTGCGTGTGGAAGGTTTGGGGAAGAGTTCGGGAATGGCGATTTGCTTCTGTTTTGCATATTGCCGTGTAACCGGGCGACTTGCTGACTGAGTAACAGGAAATGCGAGCTCAGAAAGGGTAAAAGTAGTGGGCACAACTTGATCAATTTCATCGTCTGTATCAGTTGAACTCCTTGATAAGAAATCTGCTAAGACTAATTCAGTTCCCTTTTTATAGAAGATTTTGAATGAATATTGGGATAGTTTGACAATTAACTTAGTGAGACATTGAGAACAAGGCTCTTTCTTGGAGGACAGAAGTTGAACTATTGCAGAGTGGTCAACATAAGCAGTAAACTCAACTGCTTTGAGTAAGTACTCGGTAACACTGTAATTCTTACATGCCGGAGGTAACTAACCCAATATGCGCTCCTTGCCATTTATGATTTGTGTAATGTACGATCCAGTAGCTGATCGAGATGTATCGCTATAGAGACTCAAGGGACCATTTGCAGTCGGGAGGTACAAAACACGTGGGTTAGTAAGAAGATATTTTACATCTTGAAAAGCCTTTTCATGTTCTTCGGTCCATGAAAATTTAGATCTCTTGGAAGAAATCTGATGAAGGGGCTGCATAACTTCTTGTAGCCTTGGAAGAAAGTTTGAGACATAGTTAACGGCTCCTATAAACCTACGAACTTCTTTACTAGACTTAGGACGAACAAGATGTTGAATTGCCTGGCAACGATCTGCCAATGGTTGGAGGATAACAAGTCCTTCGTTATTAATCTTAATTAAATGACCCATGTACACAACTTGATTTCTGAAGAACGAACATTTACGAGGAGAAATCTTCAGTCCATTATCAATAAGTGCTTGAAAGACAGCCTGTAAGTGACTACTGTGTGACTGGACATCCTTACTAAATACAATGATATCGTCGTGATGAGCAATACAGAAATGACGACTGTCAGGTACTTGAGAGAGAATCCTATCAATTTCGGCTTGAAAAATAGCAGGGGATACACTTAAGCCTTGTGTTAAGCGCTTGAAGTAAAAGTGGCGACCTCCGTGATAGGACGATATACCCGTGTATTGTTGAGCATTTCGTGAAAGGGGCATAGAAAAGAAAGCAGACTTAAGGTCAAGGCAGCTGACCAATTCTTTGCAAGGTAGATGATAATAAAGGGAATGGATGGTTATACCTCTTAATGCGCTTATTTAAGTGACGAAAGTCAACTACAACACGTTTACCTGTAGTTCCCTTTTTAGGGAGAATTAAAACAGGAGAGGTGTACGATTGGTGACCCTAAGCGATGATACCCAATTTGACTAATTTATCAAGTTCAGCATCGATAACCTCTTTATCAGATTCAGTGGTATGATATGGGCGAATATAAAATGGACGAGGGTCATTAACATTAATGTCAACTTCAATGTTAGAACAATGGCCAATCTCACCATAAAGACTGAATGCTTCTCTGCTTTGGGATAGTTGACTATGAAAATCTTTCTTCTCATTAGGTGACAAAATACAATTATCATACAAGTTAATTTGCTGTTGTAAAATCTCATCTTCTGATAACTGCAATAAAGGATCACCCTTCTTAAGATGGGAATATTGTTCTGCACGTTGAACAAAATCTGACGAATCACACACAAAAACAGTACCTGTGTTGAAATAGAACAAAGGATGAGATTGCCTAAGGTGAAGAGTTTTACTACCAGGGTTTGATATGGGAACAACAGTTCTGTTACGCTGTAAAGTAGCGATTATAAATGATGAACATGTGTTATCTGATCTCTTCTGTAGGAGGACCTCACGATTCCTATATAGACCTGGGACATGACCATATAAAGCAACATAGCGTGTATGACCTGGCTTAATGTACACATTGTGTGTTGGGGAAAAGTTGACTCTTTTAAGCTTACAGCGAAATACATTATCCTCAAAATGTAAGGAACCTTGTAACTCTGATAAGGTATCCTGACCAAAAATAAGATCAATGCCCACTAAATTTGGGGCAATATAAACCTTTAAACGAAACGAATAACCTTGAATAAAGACTTGTATAAACATGAAAGTTGAACAACTTAACATTTGACCATTACCCATATGAAATTCCAAACATTTTTCTAACTTATGTACAGGTAAACTTGACAAATAAGGAGAAGAATTAACAACGGATTGTGAAATAAGTGATTTAGAAGCACCACTATCAAATAAAATAAGCACAGATTTTCTATCTGATAAACTACCCTTACAGTAATTAAAGGGACTTAACTGAAGAATGACATCTGAGTCAATGTCCTTTGAAACATGTTTGGCTAGATGATTGAGTTGGGGGAATATTTGTGGAGCATTATTATCAAATATTCCCCTATTCAAAAATCCTTGCGAGAACTATGTGTGCGTTGATCTGAGCATTGTGACCTAGATAATCCACCAGGTTGTCGAAAACCCTGTCTGTCAACAGCAGAAGGCTGCGACTGAAAATCTGACGTATAAGGTGACTGATAACTAGTAGGGTTGAAAGAGTGTGACAAATGTCTGTGCCTACTCATAAGATCATCTTGCCGAGCAAAACAGGATCTCCATGTGTGACCCGGATTGAGGCAATAATCGCAAAATATAACACACCTCGACTGACGTATTGGACTGTTATCTCTAAAGGGTGACTGTGAATTGCGCAACCTAGAATTTGAGGGACTTTTAGGTTGTTGAACCCGGAAAGGTGAATGAGATGTGTCTCTGCTGGAATCAGAATGTGCTGGGGTTCTCCTTTGGGGACTATGGGAATTCTGGGATTGCAATCGTAAACTGGACAAATTCTCAGACAAATTAAAGGAAACCTCTTTAGCAGCAGTAGTTGGTGATGAATTACTACCCACATCAAAATAGCGTTGAGCTTGAACCGCAAGTGCTTGTGCAGTTGTGTCATCGGAACTTGCCATAATAACAGCCTGTTTACAGTTGGTTGGTAAAATAGATATAAATTTATCCCTAACCTGTGACAAATTATAACCTAACTGATTGGCTAATTTCTTGATTTTATCTAAATTGTCACTAGGTGACAATGAACAATCATATTGAATATTGGAATATTGGCTATACAATCCAAGTTTAGTTTTAGTTGAGGAATACTTGTCAATGAACTGGTCTTTCAAACTAGCGTAAGAATCAAATTCAATGTCCTCTATCCAAAGACGAGCCTTGCCCTTGAGCGATTGCTTAAACAGTTGTGATATGTGCTCAAATTCTTCATCGTCAATAGCAATGTCTTGATGGTTGAGGTAATCTTCAAAGCTAAGAATGTGGGCTCTTGCAGTATCCCTATCAATAACAGACCCATCGAACCGATCAATCATTTTCTCCATTGCAGATAATAAGAAGATAAATATTAGGCCAAAAAATAACATTTAAAGTTACGTACCTAGGACCTTACACACACTGACACTGATCAATTTCTGGTAATAAAAGAATAGGCCTACACATAAATCATAAAACTTAAACCTGAAAAGAAATTTTGATTAGATTAGTAACATGCAATTGATTCCTACAAGAAAACAAATATTACATATCAAGGAGTTGACAATATAATTTTGTACAAATTGACTAAATATTACTAAACAGTTCTGTAAATTAAATTAATAGTTTTATAAAACACAGAATATCAAATTAATGTTGTTATAAAAGCTAAAATGGATGAAAATGTCACTGCATTCCTTTCCAAACAGCACATGTAAAAGGAATCGCTAGGGAGTTGAAAATGAATCAAATGTCACCGGACACAGCACACATTCAATGATTTTAAAAACTGGAAGTTGAAATTGTTCAGCTTGTAAATAAGATCTGATCTGAGCTCATCTACACAAAAGTTTGTAATCATTTTCATTCGTCATCATTCATATTACTGCATCTTTGCTTTAATGTTTATTCATCATCATATCACTGCATCTTTGCTTTAATGTTTATAAAAGGCATGACAGGCCAAATTAGGTCTAACTGATTCTTGGCAGTGTTCATGTCTAGATCTAGGCTAATAATTCAATGAAGTGGAATACTACAAACGAACTAGGCCTATGATGAATTAGGATACCTCACCAAAATTTCACCATGAAACTGATAAAAATGTTCTTGAACAAAGTCAAACTGCAACCACAAATAGGCACAATAATTGTCTTTTCACACAATGACAATGCGAATATTCACAGTGATAGGCCTAATTAAGCTGTAAGCAGCCTGAAAAGTTAAAGCTGGGCTTGACTCAAACCAGGCGAGTTTGGCTGGCACAAAATAAAAATCAAATCCAATTCAATCGAAGAAAAGTCATGGCATCCACTCAAATTCAATGACTATAAAGTTACTTCAGGGAAAGATCTGGCATTAATTAATACAATATAATGCGATCATTAATTTAAAGAGCAAAAATTCTAGCAATATTGCTACACAACACTTTGTCATCTTAACCAGTTTAAAAATTCATTCGCTAACTTGATTTAAGTACATATATGTGAATCTAATAACTTGCCAAAGACATTAATTAATACAATATAATGCCATCATTAATTTTAAGAGCAAAAATTCTATCAATATTGCTACACAACACTTTGTCATCTTAACCAGTTTAAAAATTCTGCTTTTTTTCTAAATTGGCTTATATCTCTCTTATATTTCTGAAGGTGTTTCAGCTAGCTCAGGACATGAACAATTCATTACTTTCTATGGAAGTAGGATACAAGCTTGGGTAATTCATTATACTGCCTTCACTTATAGTCAGTATGAATACTCCAGAATATTTTCACTAGCTTTATTAGCCAACTAAAATTTGCCCATTCTCTAAATTGTTTGGAGGTTAAGGTGGTCGAGTGGTTCAACACACAGCTAAAGACACCCAGACACAAGCGAATTATGTATTTAAACAGATATTATACAAGAGCTAAATCTACCTATTGCAGGTCTTTCGTTAGGCCTGAAATGTTTTCTAAATTATTAATTAGACATTAATTAACTGATCCAGGCCATAATCAACTCTCCATGGCATCAGATTTCTCTGATATTAAATTGATTAGAATGGTTCAGCCATATTTTGATTTAATTTAAAAATGGAGAAGTGAGACTTAGCTTCGAACAACCAGTATGGTGGTTGAAATTATTGCACACATCTTGTCAAACCTTCAAAGGCTAATATCTTAGCTCGCAATAGAGTAATTTGAATGAAGTTTTTAAATTATACATTTTACATTATCTATTTTCGAACTATTATAACAAGAATGGCTAGCTCTTTATCTAAATATTAGATAATGTATCTTTAAGATTACAACTGTAATAGAAATATGTCTCTGAAATGGCTTTATGAAATTAAAAACATAAACATTTTAAAATAATTATGTACAATTCGTGTATATAGAAATATTGAGAAATGATTTGCCTACTATATTGTTTTTTTTCTTAGGCTTACACAAGTAATCTAGCTAAACGTCATTATGAGAGAAATCTATCAGAGAAAGTTTGGACAGCATGGCATTCTATTATAGAGAATAAATGGAGAACTAGAGTAGAGAGAGCATGTCAATCAAAAGCACAGGAAGTTTGTATGCAACTTACAAATGATTATGAAGCAAAGATTGCAACGGTAAGAATACAAATCAGGTGCAAACACTTTTGGTTTCGTCAAATTAATTTGATCAGTGATAGAACAAGCAAGCTCCAATCAGTTAAATTTTTATTTCAACAGATCGATGGTGTGTTGTGCACAATTTCTTGTGAACACTCTACATGCTACATTTATCATCCAATCTTTATTAAAATTTACAATAAATGTTGTTAATGTTAGTGAAACAAAGAAACATATTGAATTTCTGATTTCAACCAAATGTTATCATCATGTTAGACTCATCCTGACAGATCTCACGGTTGAGTTATGTAGTCTGTAACATTACAGATCTTGGTTTTAATCAGATGTAAAATTGCTGTTTCTGTTAAACAACAAACCTTTTGATGTAGATTTTCTGTGATTTCTATAATAATTATATTTATATTACAGTTAAATGAAGAGTTAGATAACCGTGGTCATGAGATCAGTATATTACATTCAGAAAGAGATAAATATGAGGAGACTATGAAAAAAGCATTTATGAGAGGAGTATGTGCATTAAATTTAGAAGCTATGAATATGTTTCATGGTTCAGAGGAAGAACATTCTGGAGGTTTGTTAAATAGTTTGTCTTGAAACTGGTTTTACCAAACAGTCTTCATGGTTTAAAATAAAAATAGAACACACCCAAACCATAAATTAAAATATTAAAAATAGATATGATGATATAACAGATTTGAAAATGATCACCAAAACAATTTATAGAGATTTTGAAACTCTTTTAAAATGCTCCCACTTGATAAATGCAGCTATTTGATAGGCCTACTATATCTAAACTTTGCCAAGAAGTAATTAATTAAAGTCACTTGCTTAAGTTTTGAGCAACATTAAACACAAATGTTGATGTATGATTTACGTTATTGTCTTAGCTGCCAGTGGAAAATCTCATTCCCATGATGTGTATTCCGATAATTTAGATGGTAATGGACCTCAGAAAGAATATGGTACATCCAAAAGTATTCCTCGTGACTCCACAGAAAGTTTACCACCTAGAATTATTACAAGTCAAGGTTCACGACCTCACTCAACCACCCATACCCACACCCAATCTAGATCTACGGTGAGAAATTTTTATTAAAACTAAAAATGTTACACAGTTTATTAGTTACAAGTTCTGAGGTCAGAAGATGTAGATAAAATACAGGACATAAATCTAGAATAACTTGAGTTTCAAATCCATTATGGATTTTTATGCCCTGTACAGGGCAACCCTCTTTAAATCAACATGTATAGCAAGTATTGTGCTGTCAAGGCTACATAAGTTAATAGGTTAAGAACACATACAGGCATACTAACATATAAATATATTCAAATATATTGATTTGTCTCAAAATAAATAAGCTAGTATATGTCCTAATTTAAACTTTGAAAGTGTTTAGTAAAGGTGTTATTTCCTAATCTTATGTGGTAAAAATCAAAACTGCTTTTTTTAAATCGAAGTGAAGTTTGGAATTTTGTTTTATTTGAGGTAAATTATTTTGATTAGTGATGGGACAAGCTCTATCCAGTTAATTATGTTTGGAAAGAATAGTTTAGTTTTAATTTTTGACTGACTTTTATCTATAGATGTAAAGTTTTAACAAAGGCAGATAGCTAACACACAAAACAAATCAACATATATAACCAATGAAATCAACAGTTTTTTTTTTGTCCCAAAGCAAAGTCTAATCAGTAAACCAATATTAGGTTTGTGTTACGTTACTGTCAAGTAAAATTTATGTAACCCCAATTGTTTTTTTCTTCAGATATCTAAACAGACATCATCCACCAGTAGTATTAGTAGTAGTAAACATCGTCCCAGTAGTGCTAAAATATCTAGTAAAACCTCTACCAGTCAAACTAGTCGCTCTACCGCTATTGGTTCTACTACATTAGCACCACCCATGGCTTCTGTAATGGTAGAAAGACACCCCCCAGTCAATAAGGTTAGTTTTATATTTAATTATTATAATAAAAAAATAATCTCAATTAGACAGTCAATTACAGTAATTACCTTATTATTGTAGATGGAAACAAGAATAAAAAATACTGGTACTAAATATTAATAACTTTTACACGTCTTGCAATCATTTACCTAATTAGCTGATCTTCTTTTTGTAATGGAGGTGATATTAATTTAGTCCTTATATTTTTAGCCCATATTTTTGTCACAGTTTTCGATTTTTAAGAGGCGTTATTTGTTGATTTTATTTATCTCTTGAATCCTATTGATTTTATTTTCAGCAAACTATAGGCCAGGCTACAGCTAGCAAGTTCCCTAAAGTAAATCAAGCTGACACACAGAGAGTTTATAAAAGACTTGCAGGACAGACCGGTTCCATTACTATTACACCACATTTACAGTCTGTTAAAGTTGTAGAATAATCAGTATTTTTTTTCTTTCTTATTGTATATTAACATATTATTTATATTTTAAATTGCAACCAAATCCTGTAAATAAAGATTTTAACAAATTAATAAATTCTGTCTAGTTTTAGTCGGAGCCGTTTTAGTTTAGTCTGCCTCTAAACTGAAATCTCTAACTCTGTACCTTTTTAGCTGGCTGTTATGATGTTGACAATAGGACATTTCTACTTTCTGCAGTAAGAGAGTCCACCGTTATATCTCCGGATCTCTTGTCACGCACCGTTAACCAGGAAAAACCAGCCCATGCCATTAAGATTTTTCACCGTCAAAGTCATTTGCAACCCTATTAATTGGATGGAGATACACCACCCCGTTCTCTATGGCATCTGAAGGGGCCATAAAATAAAATATTAAACCAAATGAAATGCGGTTGAATGTCCCACTTTTCTGCACCAATGGGAGCTAATCAGGGTTGGATTAAGACCCATAAAGCCTAGGGACTTTGAAGAATTTGGTGCCCCCATAATATAATATATATATATAAACAAGAAATAAATTTGCATTAATTTGTCAAAATGAGGTTGATATTCGTCATTATTTATTGAGATAAAACAGGTAACAGTAAATTAAAATTAAATATTTTAAATTTGTCATCCAACAAAGCAGAAATTCTGTGGTGTCCCATGATGTCCTAAACATGTGCTTAGTTTGTTTAATGTTTACTCCAGCCTTGGAGCTAATGATGACGAAATTTCGCGCAGACATCAGCGTTTTCACCTACTCTTCATCCTATAACAACTGCCAAATGTGTTCAAGAAACATCAGTTTACGTCCTATCCAAACAACTAGACGCTGATCTTTGCCTGGTATATTGTCCTGCACTAATGACCAGAGGAAACCAGAATGGAAAATCTCTAGGAATCTTCTTGGCAAGAACCGAGATCGAACCCGGATTCTCCAGGTTAGTGAGAGCCCTTATCAGTGAGTCACTAAACCAAATGAAGTCAGCAAATTATCTTGCAGTGGTCGATCAGATATGGGAAAATATATAAAAAAGGGTAGACCTCATAAATGACAATGATTGCATTCACCAAAGGAAAAAAACACGTAGCTATAACAGACAAATTTTATTCCAACATAAATATTAATAAGGATAATAAAATGTACTAATATAACGATAACATAGAATTTATAATAGTTTTTAACATTAATTTATAGAAAATGAGTATACATGATGAAAAAAGTTTGGGTTGATCAAATTAACTGAATATTACAAATGTCATTGGTTATCTGCCCTGGACAGGTTAACACGGTTATCCAGCCATTCTGTAGTTTTAGCATAGTTGTTCTTCATCCATTTAATGTTAGCTCTGAAATTTGAAAATAAAACTACTCTAAAAAAAGAAATAGGTGTGTGGTAGGGTATGATGTAAAGCTCTTCCCTTAAACTGTCAATATGTTGTGTCTTTGTCAAATATTTATCCACCTTTACATCAACTCCACTGGCTGAAAGGGATGCCAGATGATAGTAGGAGGCCCACCCATATTGGCTACAATCTGTTTTATCCTGTTCCATCCCTACATTTCAAATGGCAATCTGTGAAACTTTGACTATGAGATATTTGGACTATAGTAAAGGAGTGGCCTAGAAAGTAAATGTCACGTAATCCTAGATAATCCGCAGTGTATAATCATTCGCAAATTACAAAACAAAACACGTACAAATGCTAATATTGGCTACCTCTTACCAAGGCCTGACCAAAGTATTTATTTCAGTAACTCTCAGCTGGATAGAAGCAACGGAAAATTTGTTCTTGGTTGAACGCGATTAACCAGTATCGTAAATTATTTTTCGTGACAGTTTTATAGTTATCGACACAATGCCTATTACCTCTTCTTAAAAAAATGTTATACTAATACCTAATAAGGGCCAATGTGTTCGCTGCGGCTTTAGAAGCTGACTTTGGCGGCTGTTCTGCTATTAATGTCTCCAACTACAATTGAAAAATACAAATAAAACATGTTTTAATTTTTGTATTATCTCTTCAACAAATCATTATCCAAAATCATCTGAATAACACCTATTTTTGGGCGAGCATTGTTATGAATGCTCTACAGACATACTGTAATGTTAGCAAAAACATATGAATATTATTTAGTCAAAAAAATTATTCGAAATTCATGAATTTATATACCGACCTGTTTTAAGGTGTATTCAGAATTTACAAATGGTGTCACCTCCGTAATTATTTCAGGCATATCATTAGCGAACCTAGAATTAAACAACCAACATAAAATATCTTAAACACAAACAGTAAACGAAATAGAAGAGTGCATTGAAAGAGGTGTTAAATACTCATTGCCCATACTATTCCAATGTCACAGTTTATACAATAGCCTTATTTCACGTCAGCCCGGAGCTTGAATGAAACCTATAAAATACGCATCTATTTAGTTTTCTGTTTTCATGTGTATTATATAAGAGTCACATGTACCGTTTTTCTCTACTTTCTATTTGTCTTTATGACACAATTAATTTTGTATTATTTCTGACAATTCCTCCTATAATTACACCCCTCACCTTTACCTTACGAAACTCTGTTAACACCTTTTGAGTAACAATCACCGTGAGTTCTTTTTTTTTTTTAATCGATTACCGATAATTTCTTCCCAGACTTACACCACTTGAGTGACAAAACCCTGTTATAAACTTTATGTTACAGTAATAGTCAGTTTCTCAAAAAAAAGACCTCTATTGATTATCAACGATTTCTGACAATTACTCCAAGAGTTACCCCCCCCCACCCCTTACAAAACCATGTTAACATTAATATCATGGATAGCACGGACGGTTTTGCCGTCTGTTACCGTATTACTAGCTGGGGGCAATCCGTATTCTCATTCGGACGCATTATTTTTTTTTTCAATAGACCAGTTATTAGGGTTTGTTTTACCTTCTATTAAGATCGTTCCACCGACTCATCAAAAATTCTAAGGCAACCATTCTTGATAAAGGATTTTTAACATAATAACTAAACACGAGACGAACATCCTGGAGGTTTATTTTTTCTGGATCAAATACCCAGTTGATGTATCTATATATTATAAAATAGAAAACAATATAGAACAATAGACACATTCTTTAATGTGAACCTTTAGAGCCCATATTTAAAGGTACAACAAACCAAAATATTTATTTTTTTAAAAGCCATAAATGTGCATTAATACCACCTAGTTAAGCAAATGGAAGCTTGAAAAATATAAAGAATGGACTACTTTCGCACGGGACCGGGTGTGCCTCATACTCCTCGCAGTATTTCGTTTGATTAGACCTAAGGAGTTTCTTGGGCCATTGCTTCAGGAATATTGGTGTGCTTGCCCTTTCTACTACACTTGATTTGATGCAATTTCTCGTTTGAAGAGTTCATACATCGAACACATTGATATTAGTTTTATAGAGGGTTTGGTGTAATATACAAATTACATTGGATTCCTGTCTTTGCCTAACGACTGCAGCTGCCTGGATTATTTTTTATAGGCTTGTTTTGGGCGAGTATAGAAACATTATTCCTGGCATACTAATTGTAACTCGACTAATGGTTCCATCTCTGGAAATTCTGCAATCTTATTTCATTTCGTATTTTAAAGTTCAAAATTTCGCTTTACTTAGGCTTTATTTAATGTAATCGAAAATATAAAAACGAAACTAAATATAGATTTGTATTTATGAGAGTTATTCTGTTGCTATAACTTCACATTTCTCATACAAGACAAAATCAATGTGGTCTGGGCTACTTGTTTCCAAATTAATGTTGTTCCTACCGCCACAGTAACCAAGGTTTCTGTGTTTGAGCAAGCGCTTCCATCATCATAGCTCTTTCTGAAGCTACATTAGTATTCTGACTTCTAGTCCAAACAAAGTCCCATTCTTCCACGCCGCCTTCCCTGACGCCCACAGAATATATTATCATAGCAAAATCTGTTGGTAATCTGAAACATGATAATTGTATTTTGAAATGGCTTAGTGATTTTCATACGAAGATGACGTGTACGCAATCTGATTAAAATACAGATCTATATTTCGTTTCGTTTTTTTATACTTTCGATGGCCTACACTACGTGAAGATGTGGCCGGTTGTATTGGAAGATCGTGTCAGGGGTCGTGCGAATGGCTTTATACCCTATGACACCAGACTTTGATTAATCTATCAGCGTTGACGTTTCTAGTGGTTTACCCACAGTTCCGTGTATCAAACGCCAAGAACTCGCCGTAACAGACCGTTTCATTGGCTAATCCCTCACTTCAGCCAGGATGGCGGTAATATAACAACTCTTCTAGATCCTAGTGTAGTAAAGACAAGTAAAACGAAATTTTGAACTATAAAAAACGAAACGAAATAGGATCTGTGTTTTAATCAGATTGACGTGTACATCTCCAGTCAAAATAAAAAATACCATCGTAAGATATGTTCAAAGATCTGGCGCCGAAAACGTCCACTACCGAAGAAGAGGCCGGCCTACACAGTTGAATAATATCCGACTGTTTGTCGGAGATTATGAGTCGTGTGCAATCTAACTGAAATTTGACCTTAAGGTAAAATTTGGAGATTTGGCTGAACACATTTGCAATATGCGGTTTTGGCGGGATTGGTTACCGAGTGTAGACTTAGGAAGTGCAATATTGGTGATTAAATCTGATTTTTAAACATGTGCTTTTTTGTTGGCGATTTTGAGCCATTTTGGAATATTGGATTATAATTCAAATTGAACATTAGTTCGATGCGGTGTTGGTGTAGTCGCTTGTCGAGTGACCTAACGCGAGCGCTTTATATCATCAGAGCCGTCAATGAGTCAAATGACGTTGCTTTTACATGGCGAAGACCCATGTACGCAAACTCATCACTGAAATAAAGATTAAAACATACTGTTAATAACCTAGTTTGGGTTGTTTGGACGTTAAACTCTATGTCTACAGCAAGGATTATTTATCGCCGACAGGGGAGCCGCGGTGACTTAGTGCGTATGCCCCTGTAAAGAAAGCTTCTGTTCGAACTCGGTGTCAGCGTGTCACTTTTAAGTCAGTCGTATTCCTGATACTCATCGTTCCATGATGTTTTCAAGATTTCTCTACTTACTTTGTACTGAACTTTTTCCACGCATTAAACATAGATTTGGCATAAATAACAGTTTTCTCTACACCAACTTCACATGCCATCGTCATAATAATTTGACGTAAATATCTGAAATATTATATAAAACTCAATTCAAATTCAAGTAATTAAATGTCCTTATTTTGCCGTAAGGCGCTTCCGGTATCATATAATACTTCGTAAATCTACGATATGTAGGCTAATAATAATAAACAGCCAAATTAATGGTATCAGTTTATGGACAAATTATTGACAATGCGATATTTTAAACTTATCACGACCAACTTATTATTGATGGTTTAATTATAAATCAGCGTTTTTCCAAACCATGTTAGTTCAAACCAAACAAAATTCTAGTCAAATTTTAAACCAGCTGCTGCCAGGCAGGATACGCCCACAATTTGCAGGAGATGGATAGAGAACAAGCTGTAAACAAACGTGATTTTTTGTACAATCAGGGGCAATAATCCAGAAAGTTATGGTCTGAAATGTTCAAATATCAAAAGTGACTGAGATCTTTGGGATATAAAGATATGTTTTAAGTTTCAACAAAATCGGATAAAAATTGTGACCTCTAGAGGGTCCACAACCGTCGTATTACACATTTTTACACAATCTGAGTCGAATTCAACCTTCATTATGGTGGAGTGGTGATATATTTAAACGGTGTTTAAAATCGGAAAAAAATTGTGACATCTAGAGAATCTGCAAGCTAAAAATGCGATTTTTCGAACAATCAGGGGCCATGATCCAGGAAGTTACGTTCGGATATGCGCGATTATCAAAAGGAACCAAGATCTTAGTGTGTAACGGTGATATATTGACACGTTTTTTTTTTTAAAAATCGGATAAAAATTGTGACCTCTAAATTTTGTACAATCAATTCCCATAATTCAGGAAGTTACGGTCCGATATGCGCAAATATCGAAAGGGACCAAGATCTTGGGGTTATAAACATGCATGTCAAGTATCATCAAAATCGGATCAAAATAGTGACCTCTAAAGGGTCCAAAACCTTGATATACCACATATTTACACCATTTGCGTTAGGAGCCGCCATTTTGTCTGTCAGTTTTGGTCCGATTTTCATGAAATTTGAACTCAACCATCATTATGGTGTAACGGTGATATATTCACACTGGTTTTTTTTTAATCGGGTAATAATTGTTACGGTCCGTCATTAAGGTGTAATGGTGGAACATTCAGACGTTTTTTTTTTAAATCGGAATAAAATTGTGACCACAACCTTGATATACCACATATTTACACCATTTGCGTTAGGGGCTTCCATTTTGTCTGTCAGTTTTGGTCCGATTTTCACGAAATTCGAATTCAACCATCATTATGGTGTAACGGTGATATATTCACACGGGTTTTTTTTTAAATCGGGTAATAACTGTGACCTCTAGAGGGACCACAAGCTAAAAAAAACGTGATTTTTCGTAAAATCAGGGGCACATAATTCAGGAAGTTACGGTCCGATATGCGCGAATATCGAAAGGAACCAAGATCTTTGGGTTATAAACTTACATTTCAAATTTCAACAAAATCAGATAAACATTGTGACCTCTATACGGTCCAAGAGCTAAAAACGAGATTTTTCGTACAATCAGGGGCCATAATCCATGAAGTTACGGTCCGATACATGCCAATATCGAAAGGATCCGAGATCTTAGGGAGATAAACCTATATTTCAAGTTTCGTTGAAATCGAATAAAAATTGTGACCTGTAGAGGCGACGACAATATACTTCACATGAAAATGTGGGCGTATAAAAACTCAATAGTTCGTAAAAGTACCGATAATTGGGTAATTTAAATAGACAGCGACAGATGACATCATTGTGCGTGTCTAAACTATCATCTTCACCCGCGATAGACACACACTGTTTTGTCAAGGCAACGTATTTCCCGAAATAGTAATGAAATGAAATGGGGATTAACAGTCTTGTTCTAGTCTATCTGGCCTAACGAAGACGGGGGTTCTCGACTGTTTGATACAGCGAATTTGTATAGTACAAAAATCTAAGGTCATGCGTACAGAATGTCAGTAAATATAAGTACAGACAGTATTTAATGAAATCGAACTAGAAAAGAATAAACACACTGACAATATGAAGAGTAATGTATTAATTGTATACTGACCTTTTAGGTAAATTACCTGTATCAGAAGCACCAACTCTTTCAAATACTGGATCAACCAAATTACTTAAATATTTCTACAAATAAATCAATACATCAAATTTTTAATACAAGATCAACTAGTGTTATAGAGGGCTAACGCCTGCCATTTAGAGCACAAAGTCTATCATCAACATACACGTCGGGTGTTCCATCCCCCGTAACTTTCCTCCTGGTTCTACGGTCAGCTCCCATTGTTATAGACCCCTAAGCATAAATAAATTATATGATAGTCCAAAGATTACTTTGTTTGTGCCCGTCTTCATTAGCCCAGTTCGGAGCAGAACAGTAGGACGTTAATACCCTTTTCATTTCACTTCTTTCTCGTTTGTGTTGAAGTGGGCGTCAAACCGAATCTCGGCATCGACTATAACAACTATGTACCCTATATGTATTGAATACTGAAGCGTTTCTTTATTGAATTTAAGAGTTTAGACTACTTTTTTTTTATACATTTCACAGATGTGGTTACTTGTATAGTTGAATTTTACTACATATGCTTACATTCGTATTTCGTGTAGCATATAGCAGATCATGACTCATGCTGTCATTACACAATGGGTTCTTTGGGTTGTATTCCTATTTGTTTTCAAATTTGAGTAAGGTCTGTGTCACTACAGACCCGGGACTGTACAGCGCAGTGGACGCTTACGGCTAGCCCCCGGATCCATTCACTTTTTTTGAATTGTCTGTATGTTTGTGTTTTTCCTGAGTATGATGTCCTGTCCGTGTATTTGTTTTTGTGTAAATTTTGTGTGGTGCAGTCCCCCTGCACTTACTATTAATGTATATTATTACACGTCATGTACAGATGGATACAGTTCTGTGAGATGACATGTTTTGTGGTATGTTGGTGGCAACCTAGTAACGATAGCCACAAACTCCCTTCGTATACTAACCTACCTTTACCTTATACATAATTTTCTTATATTATGATACATTAAGATACACACACCTGTAATTTACCGTAAGCTGATGTATTAGCGATCATTCCACGTAGAAATTTAATAGAATCGAGAAAAGCTCTCCATGGTATATAACTTTGTTCTGATTTTAAATAAACAGTCATATTCAGTGCTATAGAATAATCTAATAAGTTCGCCCTGAAATATAAAAGTATATATTAGAAACTTTTATCACTATGAGAGAATCACATTTTAATAGTGGGCAGGTGGGGGGGGGGGGTCTTGTTTTAAAAGTATCACCGAAACCACCATCTATAATATAAACCAATAAAATGACGACAGAATGCACACAGATCGCTCAAAAATATTGGCAGTTTCCAAATCAACTAAAAGAAAATAATACCTGGCCAAAGCAAAGGCGTCCGCTATCAGTCCAGCTCTATTGGTTTCTAAAAATACCTGAAATAAAACCAGATCAATATAGTATAGTCCATTTTAACCCAGCTTGCTTATAAAAAAAATAACCACATGGTTATCCTTAAAGGAGCTAAACCTCTTAACTCAATATTATCCATAATATTCGAAATTAAAACATGAATTATAATTAATGTTGGTCCATTTCAATCAATATTGATGTTGCAATCTTACCATGAAAATATGAGATCCCAACATCCAATATTTAAGATACAATGGACATTTTAAAATCAGTACACGAGTAGTGTACTCTATGGTTTCGGGCAGCATTTATAATAAACAAAGAAACACAGGCCCTAAAAGACAATGGCTGATTCGCAACTGACAAAATAATAATTTTAAAAACTTAAACGACTGTCGTTCAGTTTGAGATCTTGACATATTTCACTGAACATAAGTGATTAGAATTTACAAAAGCAATTCCAAAAATTGAATGTAAATCACTTTATATACATTCACATTACATTATGTACTTTTAGACCCATTTCCGTCTACAAAAAGGTTCCAAAAAATAGAACTATACAACCTTTAAAACTTAAAGGTGTTGGTGAAATGCTGAACGTTTTGCATTTTAAAACAAGTATAGAAAGTGATGTTTACTGTTGCCACAGTTTGTGGTTGACTTATTTGAGGCAATGGCGTAACACCACCAGACGTTTTTTTCAATCAAATAAGAAATACGTACAAATGCGTTTTCACAGGAGAATATTATTTAAAAATATCTGGCCATTCGACAAAAGCTCATTTACCATCGCTAATAAATATAAATATATGTTGAAATTAGTTGTAAACTCATGTTCAAAATATTTAGTAACTGTTTGTATATTCAGATTAATGTCTAGTTATTTCAAAACCTCGCACATCAAAGCAAACACTCTTATTATAAAGGGGATTTTGTGTTAGATTTGAAAACGGATGTCACAATTGGTATGTTAATTTGCTATGTATAATTGTGACATGGTTTATTTCTGTGATTTAGGGTACCTAATTAATTTGGTACATGGTTAAAGGGAATATTTATTTCTTTTAAAGACATTTATTAAGGGTTCTACAGGTTTTGGTTAATAAAGTTTAATTATTTTCAATGTATATGCGGTTTTTTTTACAGAATGATTGTTGGTATGTTTTAGCAAGTTAGGTAACGAGGGTGTAAAGTAATGTGTCTGGATTGTGACGCATGTGCATGTGGTGCATAGTTTTGATTGGATATTTGAGTGACTAAAAGTTTCTTGGTGTAGGAATTAGAAAAGTTTGTCAGAGAGGTTTGAGATAAGTTACAGGATAGACATGGCTGTTTTCTCTAATTAGATCAGAAAATTTTTAAATGGCCAGACATGACTGTTTTTCAATATCTACAGTAACACCAATGACTGGCTTTGGATGCTTAGAACCTGGTAATTAAATACGATGTATTTAAATGTGATAAATCCGTTCCTTGATGAAATAACATTTAACCGGTAATGCCTAGGTGACCGATATTTCAATCCAGGGGTAACCTTGTGAATCATATTGTAGTTTAATCTTGGTGAACTTTGTGAATCATACGCCTTTGTAGTCTTGGTGAAGTATATTTCAATTTTGGTGAATTTTTAATACAACTAGTGAGTCTAGGCGATTCCGGAAAATAGATCTGTGACATGTGAAGGTTTTGTGATTTCCGAGAATTTGTGTTCGGGTTTAAAATGTTTTAAAAAACAACTTACGCGATTGGGATGGTGGAATTAAGACGGAGAATTAATCTGAATGCTTACCAGGAGGATTGATTGAATTAAAGGAACAGAGTATTAAATGCTGTAATGAACTGTAACTTTAAAGCATTTAATTTTTGTAAAAACCTCTAAAATTGTATATGTAAATTGATTGTTACAATATACACATTTAAAATAAATTAATTAGTTGTGTTGTTTGTTGGAAATTTGGAAAAGGGGGCAATTAAGTTAAAGAACCTGAGGTCACTTTGTGACAACGGAAAACCTCGAGTTAGTATGTAAGCCATGTTTAGATCAAGAGAAACAATGATTTATCCTATAAATGCAAGGTGGATGCGAATAACTCCTGGTTTAAGTGACCATTTTCTAACATATTGCAAAAGAAAATGAAATCAATTCCCATCAATGATCACAATACTATTAGAATCAGATAATCGAAAAAATATAATCAAGAAAAGTCTGTTGAAAAATTAACTTTTGCAGATTGGGAGACATGTTTTCAATATTGATGAGGCATGGAACATTTTTAAAAATACATTTTTGGATATTCTGTCGCACCGTTAAAAGAGGTTCGACTCAAACAGAGAACTGAATCATGGGTAGCACCGATCATTCTAGCTTTTATTTCCGAATGAGATGTCAGTCATGCATGTTTCAAAAAAACTCAAAATAAATTTGATTTAAAAAACTATTGTAAACTTAGAAATAAAACACAGCGATTCATTACAAAACAATATGCACATATTTGGGAAACAAATTAATTCAAAATAAAAACAACTAAAAAAAAACTTTGGAAAAGTGAAAAAGACGTGGGATATAGAAATAAGAAGAAAGATGGCTTTTTTTATAATTAAAATCCCTGTAACCTACCGTATGTTTTGTAACTAATTGTTCAGCTAATTTTTTCCACATTTCCGTCTCATAATTCACTCTATAAAAACCAGTGTAATCATAATTTCCTAACAACCAACCATCAGCCTTCGGTATAGTATCTACAATACGGAAAATACAGAAACATTTAGAAACTCACTTTACTATTCAACCTTTAAATTTTGAAAATATCTGGTCGTATCGGACCTAGACCTTTTGTAAGCCAGCCTTTGACCCGGGGCTTACTGACTAGCGTTAAAGGAACATATCTTAATGAATTAAATGTGTTACCTGTCAGCTATTAATATCAGACTAATCAGCTATTTACATTATTGGCGTATCTCGACATGGAATAATTTATTCACTTACTTGATCCTAAGTTCAGCCATGCAGTTTTTTTATGTGTTGGGTTATTTTCAGTCACATAAGTAAAGGGAATGTACCATTTATATCTACAATATAGATACATACAGTATTAAAGATAGGTTGTCAGGCAACGAAACATACGCCCAAAGCAGCTAATTCGTCCGGGCAGTCAACAAGAGTTGTCGCATATTTTTACTTTTTTCGGCAATGAACCATTTATAATACACTAAAATCTGATTAAGAGTAACAACTCATTAAGTAATTATCAGAAAACCATTAGATTTTGTTTGGTTTTTATAAAATTCTGTCCCATGCTAACGTTAAGTACACGAAACTTTTAATATCAAGGATTTAGCTGTTCACGTTATAAAAAGTCATTGAAAATCAATATACTTGTTCGTCTCAAGATCAAGTAAAGTCATTGAAAATCAATATACGTGTTCGTCTCAAGATAGGGGGGTTGGATGGCTGAATGGTTAGCGTGCGCGCGCTGTATCATAAAGTCTGTCATTGAGTCGACTAACGTGGTTTCGAATCTCCGGTTGTACGTGACAAGGAGTAGGGTCGCCTGTCCAACCTCGTGGGTTTTCTCCGGGTCCTCCGGTTTCCTCCCACTGCTATAGACCCCTACGCGCAAGCGAATTATGTAAATAAAATTTTAAAAAAAAGAAAAAAAAAGCATATGTTAGTCCCGAAATTACCTAGTTTGTGTCGAGTGGAGGTTAAACCCCATTTCTCTCTCTCTCTCGTCTCAAGATCTTAAACTCTGTGTATCAATCTGAAGTCAATCGGATAGTAACTTTAGCCTCTAGAGCGTCCACAAGCAATTGTGGACGCTGGACGGACGGACGGGGGCGACGACAATAAATATACGACCACATTTCAATGTGGGCGTATAAAAAGACATTAATTGCGATTACCATCTCGCAAACACAATATTGAAGTCGTACACTAGGCAGACAATAAAGCCCCATACGAATTATTTGAATTGTTTGAGGAAGGCGATGAATTGAACAGAAGTTTATTAATCAGAGGTATAGTCTAAATATTTAAAATAAACACATACCCAAGCGGGTTATCGTCATTTTCTGTGCCTTCATCACTTATAAGAAATCTTTTCTGTTGTAAGGTAAAAACGCCTTCAGTAAGAAGTACGTTAACTACAGGGTAACCCATCTGACGAGTCCATGTATCCATGATCGGTTTTATTACGAACGTGTTGTTTACTGCCTACAAAAACAATTGAAAACATCCCCCCGTCAATACTTACCGTTTATTATTGATTATACAAAACACTTCGAAACAATTTTTAAAAAAAACTCCGACGATAATTTGTCTTTCTAGAACGCCAACAATTAAAGGAGGCGGGTAAAGTTAATTTAGAAATACGTGAAATAATCTATTCAAATTTCAAGAAGATGCTATAATAATAATTGTGTTGAAAAATCAAATAAACAAAATGTAACTCCGGAATAGAAGGTCGTAGAACTGTGAATATAGACAAGGTTCATCCTCTTATGACAACAACGTTGACTATCAATCGTGTTCGTCCTCTTATGAGCCCAAATCCTTTCACACCAAATTTGGGAAAAAAATTGTTCGTTAAAAACTGTAGCTGCTATCGAGGCCACAAGACTTTCAGTAAAAGGGGATAAAACCGGAAGGGGAGATCGTAAAATAGTAGATATCGACATGATTATTCCACCCATGATCACAATGCTTCACACCAAATTTGAAAGAAATCTGTAAACATTATAGCCTCTATTGCGCCTCACAAGGTTATCGGCAAAGGACATTGAGGTGTGAGGTGTGTGTGTGTGTGTGTGTGGGGGGGGGGGGGTAACTCCAGAACGGAAATGTGCGGAATGCTGAATATCGATAGGGTTCGTACTCTCATGACACTAAGTCTCAATACAATCAGTTAAAAGATGTAGCATAACACGCCCACACCCATTTAAATAACAAAATAAGGTTTAGCGCCCTACTTTCCTGCAATTAATATAATGTAAGCATGCTTGTGTCTTGTAGCAAGGCCGTGTTATTTGACTCTTAAAGATTCCTCCTTTATACCGTCTAAGGAGACTTAACCATGTTATAAATTTTATTCCATTGTCCATACAAAACATCATCTTTGGTTTTACATAATGGCGTGGAGAAATTTAATACAATGAACCCATTCAATCTTAGACAAGTGCATAAACTACACAATGGTTATGGCTTAAGGAGACTTAGAGACTTAAAACTATCTACTCTCAGAAATAAAAAGCCCCCCCCCCCTCTCTCTCTCTCTCTCTCTCTCTATTACCTCAGTAAAGGTTTGCCACAACTGATCTCTAGCTGCATTTTTAAACTTATATCTCTTGACATACATCTGAAGACAAAAAAATATAAAATTCTATTCATCCGATTCTTTAACATTTGCACCCACAAGGTTCTAGAGAAAGAGAAAATTTAGCCTCGAGTAATCCACACTGATTAGCTGCTGAATGTGATATTTTTCCAGGAAAGTGTTGGACCACTCTCTTTTTCTTCATGTAAAATGGATATGATATTCCAGACAATAAAACTCTATTAAACCTACATCACAGATGACCCCAAAGAATAATGATACTGTTAGATTCAAACCTGGATCCTCCCAAATTACAGTAAAATACACAAATTAACCATAGAACTAAATTTAACACACGATCAAAGCCCGAATACGTCAGAATAAAGGTTGAACATAGAGTTTAATACCATACACAATCAATATTATATTTTCTGCCAAGAAATTTTCAAATCGACCAATTCTAAAAGTATTGGCAATTTAAAATTTACATTGGTTTCTATTAATTTTAAACCTCAATCTTTATGCATCTTCGTTAAATAGAATAATTTATATTGGTTTTTATTGATTGAAAACTCCCCTCTTTATGCATCTTCGTTAAAAAAAATAATAATAATTTTGTGCTATCTTTTTTTATATAATCCAGCCCCTGCATTCTTCATGAAAGTTATTTAAAATGTGATGTGAATTTATGGCATAGGATAGTACATATTTATGTTTCACTCTCTAGGTATCTATGAAAGATTTTGCCTTTAATCTTGTGGATATCACCTAGATCCAGGATAATCACCAATCCTAGAATTTTACCTTGTTTATGTCAGCAATTTCATCCCCAAACTATTTTAGCTGGCAACATGCAATGAGCCATTAATTAAGATTCTAATGAAGATCATTGACATTAAAGCATTCGTATACTTCTAATGTATTTCTAATGAATCATTAAATGTACATTTGAATATGTCATTGATAAAATGATTAGTCAGAGCCATCTATGCTGAAAATAAATGCAAATGCACAATATTCTAAAACCTATCATATCTAAATAAATGTAAAGACATGTATTAGCTGGATATTCCTTCAAATAAACCACAATATTTGAAATTTACAGCAATAATGTATACACGTGTATTTATACAAAACTTGGTATGCAACGAATATATACACGAATTAGAAAAGTGGAAATCTTGAAATATAAAAGAGTACTTCTTACAAATCATTATTAAAAAATATGTACCTAGACCTCAACTTCATCTGTTTTCATGTTTACTTAAAAACACTAAATATAAACGAGCATCTGTCACTGTGGATACTTTTCTTAATGTTTCGGAAATGGTAGCAGTCAACAAGGGATAGTTTGGGCATTTAACGGTGAAAACTACTATTTAATGTATAGTAGAGTAAATAGATTAGCATGAGGGCCCAGAAGTTATTTCTGCGTCAAGGGCAATAATTCAAAGTATTGGCGATTTTTTTTTTCCAAACTCAAACTCATCTGAGATCTTATGGATATAAGCCACATACCACGATGTTTCATTAGCATTTAGACTCCTTTATCGCGGTAATAGGAAAGTGTGGACGGACGGACTTACACAATTGACAGGGTGACCATAATATAGGTTAACATTAAATGTGGGCGAATAAAAAGCCAAAACGTAGTTTTACCTGAAGCCCCATTCTAAAATTATCTAATCCTATAAAGCTACCCATCATTCTTAGAATAGCCATACCCTACAATAAAGATAAATAAAATAAACTATCTAAAGGTAAGACGAGGACTTAAATCCTCCATTGAAGGTTTAAGAAAACAGTTCACATAATAGGAACTAGAATGAGCAAATACCGGGAATTTTTATTGAAAAAGCACACCTTAGTTGACACACACTGTTCACTTTTTTTTCTAAAATTAAGACCGTATACCTTGTTATATGAAATTATATCAAAAAATTGTGGAATATCATTAGGGTCTTTGACTTCCGTAGATACAGGATGTGACGTAGACAGCGCATCTTTATCCATAACTGGGAACATGTCTTCTACGACTTGTGTGGCAAACTAAGAAAAGAAACAAAAGCGTTAACATTTTATTTAATATAAATTGTAACCTGCCATAATGAAGATCTTTGAATTAAATGGAAATACGTATATTTCAGAGGCTTCGATTTTATAAATAAAGGATAATTTGGAATCTGGATTTTAGAAGCCAAAGCTTTCTGGTAGTCTAAAGTGAATATCCACCAGCAAAGTTATTTATAGTTGCCTTTCAGTTGATAAGATCTTTAAAGCCGTGGTTCTAATTTGTTCTAATATTTAAACAAAATATTTAAAATGTGGCAGTGCGTATATTAATAGCTGCTAATAATTTTATTCCAGGTTAAAGTTGCCTTCATGTAAAATAAAAACACCTTTAATTACCACATTCCATTCAGGGTAAATCGCGTTCATACCAAAATACATAAGTATACTGGCAAATCCTTCATTTAACCATAAATCATCCCACCATTTCATTGTTACCATATTACCAAACCACTGAAAGTAAAATTATATCATCTGATGCCATCTCTCACTTGAGTAGTTCACATACCTAATAAACCCCGAAAGACAATATTCATATTATTACATTTATACTTACAACAAGCACAACAAAAGTGTGTTCTCTATATGAACTCCTCATATCGGGTGTAAGTCAACGGGCCTGGTGTGGGATATGATTGGACATAGAATATGGTTAAACAGTCAGGAAAAAAATATACAAAAAAAAAACAAAAAAAACCAAAAAAAAATAGATTTAAAATAGTCACAAAAAAAACCGTGTCAATCGTGATACGTCACAAAAATACAGAAACCGATAAAATGAGGTACAACAAAGGTGGTTTGTTGATTGCGTTTACACCGACGTTAGTTAATGTGAAATAAAACGATGCAACTATGAGACATGCCAAACCACTATTCAACATACAACCACAGCATGAATTAATCCTTTATACCCAAACCCGAAAACATCCAAAGATTTCCACCCCTCTCTACCACCCCGAATGTGTAAGAAACTGAAAACATTTCGTAACGTATAAAGCAAAGATTTTCGTCTACTATAATAGAAAAAAAAGCCACTCAATTTTAATAAACTATAAAAAAAAAATAACGACTTTTACCACCCCACAAAACAAAAGTGTCGTTCACTATAAAACTGTTTATCGACTATACAAAACCGTCCTTAACTATAAAGTTGTTTATCGACTATACAAAACCGTCGTTCACTATAAAGTTGTTTACCAACTATACAAAACACAGATTTAATCAATTTTACAAAATACTGCATCCACTGCACACAAGAAAGCTTGTGACCTAGTTTCGTTCAAAAAATAATCCTTTTACATAATCCTGGAAAAGTTAGCCAGAAGATTGTATAGTACAGATAGATACAATATATTACAGGCTTTAAGGTAAAAAAAATCCTTAGCACACTTTCCAACATTGTCACGTAATGTAAAAATCAGTCTTAATATGACATGTAATTCTCCTCTGGTGATTATTCCTACTCATGTTTCTTCCTCATGTATAAGGCTTTATAGAAATTCTTCATTCTCGTCAAATTTACTATCATCAAATATCGACATAGCAAAAACAGACATATCAATAGCAACATGAATTATTAATTTACTATAGAAACAATATCAAATTCTATTGTAAATAATTATAAGTTCGTTAACTTGCGTTCAATAAACTTGGTTTCAATTTCTAACAGCAAATTTACTGCCAAATCTCTTATCAATTAACTATGGAAAACGCGGCTCGTTTTTCATTTCATTATTATCAGGGCAAAAAAGGCAAAAACAGAAGAATTCTCTAGCCACCTGTTGCTTAATATACTTCAAAATGATATTATGCTATATGGTATTATAGCGCAAATCGAACGTGTTGCATGACCTGCGTGCGAGGTGAAAATAAAATCAGTGCAAATCTGCCCTAAATCAACACAAAGACCATAAAAGTTCGACATAACGCCTTGTTACAGACAAGCACGATACCTCACGCAGCTCTAACGTGACAGCTGGTACTTCTAGCGCCCTAGAGAACTACCCATGAGGGCAGACGGAACAGATTCTATCGATAGAATAGCTTTCGGATATAGCCTACTTAACACCTATATATACTTTTCTTTGGCTTTTTTAATATACAGAACTGTCCAAACGTTCATATGTGGTTCTGGGTTGTATGTTCCAGAATTTAATCCAAGGAACTGACAACCGAGTACGCGCGAAATTTTACGATGAAACAGCAGCCGAATCATCAATCTACAGAACAATATTCGGCGATTTTGGTTCACAACGGAACTCAACTGTGATTCGAATTCGGAACGTCGTGGACCACATAATTAATTGATCGTCATCGTAATACTTGCGCATTTTAAAAACTTACAGTATGCGCGATCTCATGGGACATTATTAATGTGACCATGTATTTATTTTTACTGGAGGAAACTTCTGGATCAAATAACAAAGCTGTCTCTCTGTATATAACCAATCCCCAGTTTTCCATAGCACCAGCACTAAAATCAGGAACAGCAACATGATCTGTATATAAAAAGGAATAATGGTTTTTTTTTACCTTGCTTGAAACAAGAGCAGGAAACAATTATAAGTGTTAAGAGTATCCTTCAAACACATAATATTTTATTGAATTTGCATGGAGGTTGTAATTGTCAAATGGTTTTGGAGATTTATTAAATGTTTTTCACATATTCAAAGCGAAAAACCGGTAATTGCAATGTACTGTTCATGTTATCACGTGAACAATGATCCTTCTTTCGTTGATTGGGGCTTTAAGTTCGCTTCCACCTAAGATGATATTACAGACAAGTGTTTCCTGGGAAACTTACAAGAGTAGACGGGTGAGCGATTAAGAGTCCCAATCGATTCCGTTTTTTTTTTTTGGGGGGGGGGGGTTAGCTAAAGACACAATGTCTTTGAGGAGTAGCGTCCAAGGTAGTCTTTAACACCATTTAGGTTTCATCCAAAGGCGTTGCTCCCAGTACTAGTAATAGGGTATCGCAAATGGGACCGTAGGAAAAATGGCGTGCGTCATTCCAGGCCACCAGACACCCACTTCACATAAGTATGTCCGACTGGTGTTGAGTCCCTGGATGATCACTTATGGATCCCATCCGTTGGGTGTTAAGGTTAACCTCAACTCGTCACATAGTAGAACACTCTTCTTGTCCCGCAAGGGACAGACCATAAGGTCTTTGATACCAATCTCACACACGAAATCTTAGATTAACTCCTAGATCTCGTGTCAGTCTACACTAGGTGGAGTAGACTGTGAACATTGAGGTTCATTTTAGCGGAACCGTGGACAATGAGACTTTCTTTATTTATTTTATACCAAATGGTCGTCGTCCGGCGAGAGAGTACTAGTAATACCTCTCTACGCTACGATTAGTATGTTTGGAGACAATCAGATTTTTCGACCAATCGCTGTCTAGTTGTCATAAATTATTTAATTTAAATCAAGTCAGCTCAAACCAAGCGGAAATTCGAAAGTTGGATACTAAGCGATAGAACCGACAATTTCAATGGATAATTTAAATAAACAAACGTGAGGCAATGATACTGATCAAGGTAATACACGTCTAGAAATGAAATGCGGAACTGTGTTACCTTGATCCGCAAAAATGCCAAACAGTAAAGCCAATGCTTTATATGGCGATGCCGGATATGTCTTATATGTGATAAACTAAATGTAACAATATCTATTGTATAAATTGGTACAAGTTGACACGTAGACGTGAAGATAGTAGCCAGTGTAATTACTGATATTCTACTTGATTTTCTTTAATTCTTGGTTTATAAAATAATTAGCCAATGTCATTTTCAACGGAAGTAGTCTGTATACAAGTACTCAATATTTCAATACGCATCCTCAGCCTCTATCCAATAATCCGCCATTATTAATGCCCAGACATAACATGGCCGTCTGGTAGTCTTAATTAGTAAGTATTGTACTTACCCGCCTTTGGAATGACATCTGGAATACCAAAGTATTCTGTGAAGAAGTCGTAAGCTTTGATGGAAAAATCTAGAGCATACAATGTCTGGGTGTAAGCATCGGGTTGAGCCCATATCTTAATCTAAAATAGCAAACACTGATATTAACAAATTGTTTCGATTGCAGCAATAAAAGTCGAATCTAAGACGACTGAATCTTCTTGTGAAATGATAATTCCATGAGTTTACATGCTGTATAGGGTGTTTCGAGAAAACTCTATCTAGACCGATCATGCACCATGTTCAACAATCAGTGTATGTACAATAATGTTACAATGGATATTTCATGGTTGTTCGAATAATAAGAGGTATCCTATGCAACGCAGTGCCGCCGTAGGTCACTGGAATCCTGAATAGAATATCCCACATTCGAATGCCGGCCTGTGCCGAAAAGAACCTTAGATATTTTTCAAGCATGGATACCACTTGCGCGGTCTAGTTCTATGCATATTGGTTTACGTCAAAGAACACCGAACATGATGAGTAGGCCGAAAAAGTCCACATCTCCACCCGTATTTTAGTCTCAAACGGCCCAATGCGGTTTGTTGAAAAGACATCATATTATATTATAAGGCCTAAGATTGATTAATGATTTTAAAGTTTGATTTCTCAAAGCAAAACCTCTTCTCGGCACGCTACATGTACTAACGGGATCAACTCGAAGAAAATCTTTATTTTGTGGTTGATAAGCTATAATAAAACTCACCGTATAACCAGACTTAAACGTGTGACTTCTACTTTTAAAATCGGCTACAACAAAGGCTAGGATATAAGTCGACATAATAGGTGTCTGTGAAAACTCTTTTCTTAACCAACCATTATTTAATACAGACGATTTGTGAAGTGGCATATTACTTAATGCTTCATATCCTAAAAAAAGAAAGCTAAAAATATCAACAACTTCGTGGACCACCGTGTTTGCCACCTTTGTAAAGTGCTGATTCCAGCGATATCTTCAAAATTGAAGTTAATGGTCAATGTATTGTGGAATTTCGATTAGACTAGACGTTTCTCTTCATCCATGCAGACGCAATAATGATGTCTGTGACGCTTGGCCCGGAGAACCTGTGCTAAGCCATTCAATGAAGTATCAGCAGATCGAGTCAATCAATCCCTTTTGATAGCCCATTGTTTGTACCCCAAGAGTGCGTTGTGGCCCCGATTGTTTTCTGTTCAAATGGATGTCTGTGCGGTTGTTATTCGAAGAAATTTAGTATCAGTATATAATCTTTATTGTGTTAGTACTCAAACAGCAATAAAATGAGATTTTTCAGTCCAATTTCAATGTTTTGTAATTTTAATTTCGAGTAGACCTATACTTATTTAATTCTTGTTTATAATGTTCACAAATCTTAATACGAGAAATAGCTAGACCTCATCGGCACATAATTAAAAAGCAGAAAAATGAATAACTCACTAATTTAAATTTCATACAGATCGGATCATAATTTTCATCATTCGGGCGTTCACAAGGTTCAACAAGCGCCATTACTCTACAAGTAACTATTTGAAATTGCTGAAATTCAATAGGATTCTTCACAGGGGCGATCGGGCGATCGGGCGATCGGGCGAAGGGCCGGTCGGACAAAAAATAATTTTGTCCA